ACAAAAATCCTGGAGGCCTCGCGCGGCACCCTGTTACCCGATTTGCGTCGGGTCCACCTAGGATGTACGTCGGGCTCTCGTCGGAATGCAGCGGATTCGCGCTGTGTTCACATCGGTTTTACGCCAGGCTCACGTCGGAGCATCGCCGCACATACGTCGACCCATGTCTTCCGGAGCGGATGTTTGGACCAAAGGCTGCAACCATTGAGCGCCGCGCGAGGCCTCCAGGGATTTTCTTCACACAGCGGGGGCAGGAGGAGGAGTCACCACTGGGGCGAGAATGTCCATACCCACGCCCTCGTGGTCTCTATTCCAGGGCGAGATCCCGGGGATACGCGGTCGCAAGGATGCGTTTCGCGCGGGTGTCCGGCCCGCGATCCTGTAGATACGAGTAGTTATGTTTTTCGCCGCCGATGGGGGGGGGGGAGAAGGAGGGCGATGAGGATGAGGAGGGGTAGGAGGGGGAAGGGAGGGTAGGAGCAGGAGGGGGATGAGAAGGGGGGGGAAGGAGGGGGGGAAGGAGGAGAGGAAGGAGAGGGAGAGATCCAGAGGCAACTCCCAGGAGGTGCTCGCTGGGTTAGCATAGATTTCACGCAAGATTGAACCCGCATAGCGGATGACGCGCAATAAACCAATCAAAATTAAACTGGGCTCGGCTGGACTTGGCCATTCTTCAACCACGGAGATACCAACGCAAATTCTCAACTTAATCTCCCAGGAGATATGTCCTGAGACGGAAAGGTGGGACAAGCATCCGACGCCTTGAACACATCAAGGCATATATTCTCCGCCAATCTATGCCTTCACATTGCCTCGCTTGCCCCCGGGGGCAACATAGCACGGCTCGGGATGCGTGAAGAGCCGGCCATGAAAAGGGCGTTGAACAAAAAGCGGACATCGGATATCTGGGCGATGGTCAGGAGGGAATACAAGGAATGATCTAGAGCAATCTGGGGGGAGTAGGAGAGCAAGGGAGTAGAAGGAATAGGTAGAACAGAAGCGGACATACAGAAATGGACTTCGTGGCGACATGCCTGAAGGGGGGGAGGAGCATGAGGGAGAAGGATCCATGGTGGGGAGGATGGGGAAGGAATCGGGCGGAGGAAGGCGATGAGTGAGGGGGTCCTCCTTACAAAGCGCCCCACGAATACCCCTGCTCCTCGCCCTCCTCCGCTCCCTCCCCCTCCTCATACCCCTCCTCCTCCTCATACTCCTCCTCGTCCTCCTCCACCTCCTCCCCAGCCTCATGCCCTTCCTCTTAATACCCCTCCTCCTCCCCCTCCTCCTCCTCCTACTCCTCCTCCTCCTCCTTCTCCTGATAACCTTCTTCCTCCTCCTCCTCCTCCTCCTCTTCCTCCCCCTCGTCCTCGTCCTCGTCCTCTTCCTCCTCCTCGTCCTCCTCATGCCCGCCTCCTCGTCCTCCTCCTCCACCTCCCCCTTCCTCCCCCCCAAGAGGAGGGATGGGGGCGCAGAGGCCTGCGCTCCACTCGGGGCCCATCGGACGACGAGGCCTCCGAGACGACGCGGGGGCCCGAGGCGGGCAGACGACGGGCCGAGCAGGAGCAGCGCCTGATGGGCCTGTTTTCCACCACCACCACCAGAAGTCAGAGAAGAGGGGGGGGGTCCTCCTCTTCCTCCTCTCCTCCTCCCTCTCCTCCTCCTCCTCCTCCTCCTCCTCCTCCTCCTCCTCCTCCTCCTCCTCCTCCTTCCCCCATCCAACTTATGGTGGTGGTGGTGGAAAACAGGCCCATCACGCGCCCAGGCGGGGGATCGCAGGACCAGCGCAGCCGAGCAGAGAACGGTCCTCTGCAGTCGGACCCAGGCCGGAAGAGCATCCCTCGAGAGCATGAGACGCAACGAGAGCGGGGCCAGGTTCAGGGGGTGGGGAACCATCGACCTGGAAGCGGCGATGAATCGCCAATAGATCAGCGGCAGGCCCCAGATAGACACACCACGTCTTCCTCGACGGGGTGGGCCATCGGGCCCCGATCGGCGATCCATGGGCGAGTGGGGGTCGATGCATCCCCCCTAGCCTGTCCCCCCTAATACAGTTTGGCCACGTGGCAGAAAATCAGAACATTACCACCATCGCCGAGACTGGGAGCATCTCCCCCCGGTGGAGGCACACCGCCGATCCTGGTGTGCTGTCAACCTGCAGGCCTCCGATCTCTGGAGCCACGCAGACCACAGGGACGGACCTGCAGGGTCCTCCCTCCCCCAGCCCCATCATCTACCTCTCTCGGCGGCCGGTGGGCGACGAAGGTAAAGGGAGGGGGAGCCGCCAAAGTGGAGGATGCGCAATGAGTGGACGCCCGACTTATCCAGGATAACTCTGGTCCGTCCAATGTACCTCCGCCCCCTAACGACTCCCACTTCCGATGATTCGGGAGTGATGGGCGCCAGAACTATTCGGGTCTGCGGCAACTTCGGCTTCGGCTCACGACATACGAATCAGGAGCTGCCCCTGGCCAGCCTCAGAACCCAGATGATTCGAAGCCCAAAACCAGCAGCAAGAGCTCGTCATTGGACGTGGGATAATTTTTCCGTCGCAGCGCGGCAGAGGCATTCCGCACGCGCGCGCAGCAAGCCGGGGGACGGCACTGCGAATTGCCCGAATGCAAGAGGAGAAGGAGGGAGAGAAGTGGAGCGGCTGCGGGAGGAAGGAGGGGGGGAGCTCGCGCGCACGATGTGACATCATTACCCCAGTGCGACCCTACCTAGACGTTGGAGCCCCTAGGAAAGCAGCATTAGTTGCTATGCTATGCTATTGTATGCCATGCTATGCTGCGCTATGCTATGATATGCTACGCTATGCTATGCTATGATGTGTTGCGCTATGCTGTGCGATGCTATGCTATGGTATGCTATGCCATGCTGCGCTCTGCTATGCTAAGCTATGATATGATATGATATGCTGCGCTATGAATTACTATGATCTGTTATGCTTGGCTATGTTATGCTATGCTGCGCAATGCTAACGCAGCGTTGCGCTATGATAAGCTAAGCTAAGCTAACCCTCTAGGCAGAGCCTAGATAGGGAATTACACCCATGCTGATGCTATGTTATGCTCTGCTCTGCTCTGCTATGCTATGCTGCGCTGTGTTATGCTGTGCTGTGCTGTGCTGTGCTGTGCTATGCTATGCTATGCTAAAGCTCAGCGAAGCTAAGATGAAGGTAAGCTGAGCTAAAACTGAGGTAAGATGAAGCTAAACTAGGGTCAGCTGAAATAAGCTAAGCTAAGACGAGATAAGCAACGCGAAGCTAAGGGAACGTCACTGGGGGAACCGCGGGGCGGATGCTGGGGGAACCGCCCGGGGGCAGCACCACTGCCCGGCCCTTTTAAGCTTAGCCATGCTATGCTAAGCTGCGCTATGCTATGCTATGCTATGCTATGCGATGCTGCGCTATGCTATGCTATGCTTGGCCATTGTATGCTATGCTATGCTATGCTAACGCAGCGCTGCGCTATGCTAAGCTAAGCTAACCCTCTAGGCAGAGCCTAGGTAGGGAATTACACCCATGCTAATGCTATGCTATGCTGGGCTATGCTATGATATGCTATGCTGCGCCATGCTATGCTACGCTATGCTATGCTATGCTGTGCTAAAGCTCAGCGAAGCTGAGATGAAGGTAAGCTAAGCTAAGATAAACCTGAGCTAATATTAAGTTAAGCTAAGCTAAGATAAACATACGCTAAACTAATATGAGATAAGCAACGCTAAGCTAAGGGGACGTAACCGGGGGAACCGCGGAGCGGATACTGGGGGAACCGCCCGGGGCGAGTTGCACTGCCTGGCCCTTTCAGTTTACCGAGTAAGAACCCTTCTAGGCAGAGCCTAGGTGAGGAACATTGGTGTACACGCTGGTCGGAAGAAGTAGGTAGAAATCATGAAGTAGGAATGCATATGAAGTAGATTGGGTTCAGGCCCCCCCTAGAGCAACAAAACACAGCAGAAGCATTCAGATTCTTGAAGTAGGAAGGCGCTTGAAGTAGATTGAGATCTGGGAAATCAAGAAATACCTACTCTCAACGACCCGCCGGCGTGTACGCAAGCTCCCCTGCCCGTCGCGTAACAGTCTGGTCCGATCCTCCGAAGGCGGGGCAGCGGCAGGCAACGGTGCGACAGACGCGGCAACGGCGGGCACCGCGAGGGCGAGGCACGCAGGAGAATGCGCAAGACCACCGCAGGAGGAGGAAGGGAAAGGGGACGAGCAGTGTCCTCCTCCTCCTCCTCCTCCTCCTCCTCCTAACACTCCTCCTCCTCCTCCTCCTCATCATCATCTTCCTCCTCCTCCTCCCCCTCCTCCTCATCCTCCTCCTCATCATTCTCCTCATCCTCCTTCTCCTCCTCCTCCTCCTCCTCCTCCTCATTCTCTCTCCTCTCATTCGTCTCTTCTCGTCCTCCTCCTCCTCCTCCTCCTCCTCCTCCTCCTCCTCCTTTTCATCCTCCTCCTCCTCCTCCTCCTCGTCCTCGTCCCCCTCATGGTCCTCGTCCTTGTCCTCCTCCTGCTCCTCCTCCTCGTCCTCGTTCTCGTCCTTATTCGCCTCCTCCTCCTCCTCCTCCTCCTCCTCCCAAGAAAGGTGCCAGAGGAATTGCACGTTGGGGCGCGCACGCGCTGGATTCACTGTCGGCACTCCATGCCGAGGCGTGCAGACGGGCGCCCGCCCGCACATGGGGGGACGAGGCGCAAACGCAGGGCGGACAGAGAGAGAGAGAGAGAGAGAGAGAGTCGGCAGGAAGGGCGGCGGCAACGCTACTCGGTCGATGGGGGGCATCGGGGAAGGAATGGGAGGAAGAGGAGCAGAAGGATCAGGAGGATCAGGAGGAGGAGGAGGAGGAGGAGTGTAGGAGTAGGAGTGGGAATAGGAGTAAGAGTAGGAGTATGAATAGGAGTGGGAGTTGGAGGACGACGAGTGGGAGGAGGAAGAGGAGGAGGGGGAGGGGGCAGGGAGGTAAGGGGGGAAAGAGGAGGGAGCAGGAGGAGGCCCAGCATGGCCGCCTCCTGCGCCGAGATCTGCGAAACCTGGTCATCGTCAAACCTGTACCACAAGTCGTCGATACAGTGACGGCAATGCGCCGTGTAATGACCGCAGTCCGCATGACTGCCGTGGTGGTTCACGATGCCTGCCCGCGGAGCGCGGCGGAGCGCGGAATGGGACAGCCCACATCACTTCCTCTCTCGTCGTCCCTCCCTCCTCCTCCTCCTCCTCCTCCTCCTCCTCCTCCTCCTCCTCTGTTTCTTCCTCCTCCTCTGTTTCTTTCTTCTCCTCTGCCTCCTCCTCCTCCTCCTGCCTTTCGTTCGTCCATTGTGGCTCCTGCTCGACATTCGGCTTCCTCCGATCCTCCTGCTCCTCCTCATCCCGGTCCTCCTTCCACTGCTCCTCCTCCTGGCGCGCCGAGGCACCGACAGCCGCCATGCCGCTCAGACGTAGCCCTGCCGCCCCCCAGGGCCCGTCGGCCCCGGGAAGCTTGCTGAAACTTGCGAGCCGGGCGCCTCTAGGGGCGGCCGCCCCGGATTCGCAGGCCGGCGAGGCATGCTGCAACAGGCAGGAGGCCAACATCAGCAGGAGGCAGAAGAGGGAAGGCACACGGGCCTCCCCCGGACCACAGGACCCCCGCAGGCGCCCGCCACTCCCGCGACTCTTGCCTTCACTTGCGCAGCAGGCGTAGGGCACCCCGACCGCAGGACTGGTGGCCGCCAGGGGGGGGTCTACCGAGCGCGGGGGAGGCTTGTGCACTCCGGGTCCCCCCCACCCGCCCTGAGATACAACCCTGCTACTGGGCGTCAGCTGCTCGTCGACGTGGCGGCAGCACATCTGCGGGTGGCAGCTGCTGGGGTCGAGAAGGGTGCGCTGTGGCACTCTGAGCGGCTGTCGGTAGGAGGAGGAGGAGGAGGAGGAGGAGGAGGAGGAGGAGGCGGCGGCTCCTTAGCGGCTGAGCAACTTCGCGCGGCAGGAGGGCCGAGGTCGAGAGGAACGCCTGGTGGCGCTCTGGGCGGCTGCAGGCCTGCGAGGCGTCGTGGCCGCACTCGCCGCTGGCGGCGACGGATGGCGCATGCAGACCCCCCCCCCTGATGGGCCTCTTTTCCACCACCACCACCATAAGTTGGAGGGGAGGGGGTCCTCCTCCACCTCCTCCTCCTCACCTTCGTCCTCCTCCTCCGCCTCCTTCTCCTCCTCCTTCCCCTTCCCCCCTCCAACTGATGGTGGTGGCGGTGGTGGAAAACAAGCCCATCACTTCTTGCCTGTCTCTGCGCCGGAACCTCAGTGCGCCGTGGCGCCTCGCCTCGCCGTGGCAGCGGTCGGCAGGCTGGCGGCCTGCTCTGCGACCGGCAGGACGAGGGGGTGGGGGGCAGAGGGAAGCTGGGAGGCGCAAGTCCCAAAAAGTAGGGCAGGGGAAGGTAGTTGTTTCTTCCGTTCAACCATCCCCCGTTGAGAGGTTCAGGTTGGAGTTAGGGGCCCTCGGTGGCACCCAGCGGCCTCTAGGAGTCCCAGGGGCCCTCGGCGGCAAATCCACGTCAGCGAACTCTACTAGAGAAGGCAGAAGAAGGTAGTGAGGGGCGCCCGCGAGTTGCAACGCGCGGCACTAAGCCACTCTCGCCCAATACGACAGAACACGGCCTCTCTCTCTCTCTCTCTCTTTCCCTCTCTCCAGCCGACCCTCGCACACCCGAAACCCAAAATTTCAACCATACTTTTTGGGATAGTTGCACTATCCATGGCGGCGGCCATGAATGTAACCCGCCTCCAACCGTGATAACCTCAACTCCAATCCGCCCCCCCCTCCCCCGCGCGCGGCAAAAGCGCGCGCGGCTGGGCGCAAGTTGCTTACAAGTGTGGCAGAGGGTGGCAAAAGAGAGGTCGGCGCGGGCAAGCTTGCGCGTGAGGCGGAGCGTGAAAGAAAGAAGGTGGCAGCGGGACCCCTGACGTTGGCGATGAGAGGCTGCAGCTGCGCTAGCGCCTGCAGCCGCCTGGGCCGTCGCCGAACGCAACCCGCGGCGATGTTCCCGTTCCCCGGCAGGACGTAACGAACACCATCACATCCCGACCCACAAAGGCGGCGAAAGCGTGGAGAGGTTCGGAAGGGTAGAGGGCGGACCACAATAGAAGTCGGCAGCCAATGGGAACTGGGACGCTGGGCGGGAATCATCAGTGGCCTAGCCGACGGCGGGCCCTTCGCATCGCTGCCTCCGAGGCCATGCGACGGTGGGACTAAGGTGGTACCAAAGAGGCGCGTGAGATGACTCCACCAGTTGGCAGGGCTCCTGACCGTCATGGACGAGTGTGTCGCGGCGGATTTGGGAGCCTCGTGTTGCCGAAAACCTACGATTACACGTCGGGTCGTGTGCGTCCACGGGCAAAATCGCGTCGGTTTGGTGGCATGCGTGGGTGAGAAGGCCACGGCGGGTTTGGGGGTCCTTCTTGTCTGGCCTCGGACTTTCTGCACAGCAGGGCATGCTGTAGGTGCACGCCCCATAGGATGCTGTGCCGACGTGGTCGCCGCAAAAAAGCACTCGATGGGGGCGAAGCCGCGCCGTCGCCCGGGGCAGCGCGAGGCAGGTCGCGCGGAGAACGGGTGGTCGGTGCGAACCGAATGTTGCGGCGGTTGGCTGCCCAGCGAGTGCGGCAGCATACGTAGGTTGTGGGAAAGAGCAGCGTGTCGCTCTAATGGACGCGGCTGCCCGTCTGCTGGAGCACAACCGGTCAAATATTGAATGTGATGGGTGGCGCTCTGAAGGGCAATCGTTTGGCACGTCCCATTTGGAGGCTAGAGCCTTGTGTGGCGTGGGGCGTGGGCGACCAGGGAGGAAGTCATGACTCGCCAAAAGTAGTCGGCTACGCGGGCAGGTAGACGCGGTGTCGATGGTGGCCGCGGTGTCGATGGTGGCGTCACTTCTGCTTCGCTGGCGCCGTCGCTGCTTGTCAGCTGTTGAAATGGCGTCGGGCTCCGACTTGCGTGAGCTGTGCTGGAAGCGTCGACGGTCTTCTGCGCAATGGTCCAGGCTGTGGTAGCCGAGGTAAGCCTCGTCCTCATTGTCGTCGCGCGTCGCCTCCGTGTCAGGTAATTAGGGTGGATACCTCGCGTCGCAGATGTCGTGACTGGTAGTCTGGGCACTGCAGCTCGTGGTCACGATGCGGGTTGGGGCTGACTTCGGCCGCGGGGGCTCGGTGACGGGCGCCAGCCGAGCGCGCTTCCCCTCACTCAGGAGTCGGATTCGCCGGCTGGTCTCTCTCGCGTCGACGGGGGGCAGCAGATCCCTACTCAGGGTGTTGGGGACGGGGAGCATGTCTCGGCCCTGTGGGATGGGCCCTGTCGGTGCTGGGCCCGACCTCGGGGGCTCTGTGGCGCCGGCAATCTGTGCTGCGGTATTCGGTTCTCCTGGCGCGTGGTGACGCCCAGGTCATCCTTGTCGCCCCCCTCCTCCTCCTCCTCCTCCTCCTCCTTCTCCTCCTCCTCATCCTTCTCCTCCTCCTCCTCCTTCTCCTCCTCCTCCTCCTTCTCCTCCTCCTCCTCCTCCTCCTCCTCCTCCTGTCGGATGGGCCAAGGCCCTGAGCAGGAACCATCCATCCTTACAGTCAAGTCGCATGATAAGGATGCGCGGTAAGAATGCAAGGGCCTTGGAGGGCCATGTTGGCATTTTCGCACGGGGTTGGCCAGCGAAAGTCGCCGAGCATGGGCCGAGGGGGCAAAGATGCAAGGATAGCCAGGGTAGCGTTGAAAAACTGCTCATCCTTACGATGCGATTTGACTGTAGATGGCCCTGGAAAAGACAGGATCGTCTCTGTGCCGTTTCTGTTTGTCCGGTTCTTGGCAATTCCCGTCGCAAAGATTCCCCCAATCCCGTCGCCAGGTTGTCGTCGGTTCCGGTGTCAATTTAAAGCCCAGAACATTATTGTGCCGTTTCCGGTCGCCGTTTCTTGACAACTTCCACTTCAAGAAACGCTTGTTTTCGGAAACGGTCAAGAGACGTTCCTGGCGCTTCCGCGGCCAACTAAGCGTCTTTCCTGCAGGCAAGTACACTCGAATAACGAAAGCAACAGCATTTTGACATACAACCGATGCATCAAATCAAAACGGCTGCAGGCAGGACTGTTCTAAGGGCTTCCCGTGCAAAGCATAAAAGGTTCTTAGAACACTCTCTGGTGGCAACCCAGGACGCCTCGCCTATGTTCGAAGGGCGGTCACGGACCTCCTCCTCCCCCGCATTCGCCTCCCCTCCTCCGCCCCGCAGGGAGGAGACGGGAGGAGGAGGGAGGAAACTGGACAATGCGCCTGTTCGTCCCACGGGACGGCCCCACCAGGGGCTTAGGCGGTGGCGCCGCGGCGCCGACAACCAAGCAAAAATCACATGCTCGGGAGCGGGGGACAGCGGGAGAGCCAGCCGGCCGAGTCCCTCCCTGCCGAGGGGACTGGGAGGACGACAGGAACGACGAGGCAGCAGGGACGACGAGGCCCCGTCCTCGTCCTCGTCCCTGTCGTGGCCAGTCGTCGGCGCCGCCGCCGAGGTGAGAGTGACGAGAGGCGGCACAGACAGAAAAACTGTAAACCGTCGGAGGTCCGCACGGATTTCTTGGATCTGCGGTGGAGCCCCCCGCCCTTGCCAGCGGAGCGCGCCCTGGCGCCGATCTAAGAAATCCGCGCGGAGCTCCGAAAGCACATGTTTGCGCAGTATGTCCTTCGAGTCGCGGCCGCCTCCGTCGGCGTCGCGTCAGCGCCGCCGCTGCCGCCCTCGTCGTCGTGGCCGTCCTGGCCGCCGTCGTCGACGTCCTCGTCATCGCTGTCGTCCTCGTCGCCGTCGTCGTCGTCGTTACCGTCGTCCTCGTCGTCGTCCTTGTCGTCGTCCTCCTCGTCGTCGAGGTGGTCGTCGTGAGTGCCGGCGGCCGCGGCGGGGCTGCGCGGCGAGGGCGCGCCCACGATGTCGTAGAGCGCCTGGCCCTTCTGGCGGGACACCTGCGGAGGCAGGGGGCCCCGCGCCCGCAGGCGGGGGGGCCCGCGTCCGAGGGGGGGGGGAGCTGGTGTCGGGGATCTTCTGACCTGGGTCGCTGCAAGATGCTGCAGGATCCTGTCGGGGATGTGCAGGGACCCCGTTAGCAAAACGTGGTTTAGTGAAAAGGGCCTCGGGCCCAAACCTGGCGGGCGCAAGCCTGGAAAATGACGGCCGCGCCCCTTTAGCAAAACGTGGTATAGTGAAAATGACGGCCGCGGGACCTTCTCGAGAACCGAAAACTGTCACTTCTTGAATCGACGTGTAACAATGGGGGCTCTGTCCACCCCCGATCCTTCAAGATCCTGCAGGACCCTGCACCCCAAGCCCGGGTCCATGCGCCCCTGGCTCCGCAGGATCCCGTAGAATCCGGCGCTCTGGCTGCGCCACGATGGTGCGAGTCGGCGGCGACCTCAGGGGCAAAGGAGAAGGAGAAGCCTCAGTGGCAACTCGTGGGCGCCTCCCATAGCATCGTGTCGGCTCCTGCAGATCGACACCGATCGACGCCAAATCGACGCTCACCGACGCTAGTCGACACGAACTGACGCCAAATCGGCACGATCGCATCGACTCCAGACAATGATCGACGCTAACCGACGCTAAAGACGGAAATGACAGGGTATACCAGGCTCCCATGATTTGCCACCGAAGAGAACCAGGGGCGACTGCGTGTCATGACCGCCCCTGGGCCATTCGCCTCCATCGTCGCGTCAAGGAAGAGACCTTCTAAAAGGCTCGGAAGACCCCCGGCCTTCTGAGAAGTTGTCTCAGCCTTCCCCGACAATGCAGAGAACTTCTAAGAAGGCCCGAGGGCTTCTGAGACGCCTTCCGAGAAGGCCTTCTCCTTCTCACTTCCCCCCCTCGCTCGCAGCCGAGTACAGGGGGCCCAGGGAGACACACATACTACATCGGCACAAATTATGGGTGTCCCTCTGCCCCGTACCCCCTGCATTCCCCATACGTCCCCGATGCAGCTGCTTCCCCATACTTCCTCGGGAGCATCGCCGTGTAGTGGGCCAGCTGTCGTTCAGGTTAGTCTAGTCTAGAAGCGTCGGCGAGAACAGGGTCACTCCTGAAGTCCTGGAGGGGAACAGCGCAAGCCTGAGCAAGCCATGCCTCGGAGCCCCACGAAAAGGAGGAAGGCGTAAGAGAAGCCGGCGCGACCACGGCTTTTCTTGGCCCGTCGTGCCTGTGGAGGGCGCCAGGGCAGCGCTTTCTCCTGGGACGAGAGCGGTGTCATGGTAGGCCTGACTCGGAGTGCGCCCCAGGCTTTCGAGAAAACCTAGCGGCCCTCGATCCCGGAGCCCGTGCGGCACAAGGGGGAATCCTATCATGATGATCATGACTTTGTGCTGCTCTGACTTCTGTGCGCCCAGGGGCGCGCCGCGTACGGAGCGAGGTTCAGGGGCACCATCAGCGACTCCTGCCAGCGGCGGCGGCGGCGTCGGCGCGTACGCGGTCCGCATCGTCCACTGCTGCTGCTCCTCCTCGGGCTCTGCTACTCCCGAGGGGCACCGATAGGGTCGATGAGACTTGCCCAAGGGGGGGATACGCCGAGCCCGAACCGGCGATACATCTCCGAAAGACTGGCGATGCAGAGGCTTCCTGCATGGGGTCCGAGTAAAGTGGGGTCGAAGGATCGCGCCGCATCGCCCATGCATCGCCGATGCATCGGCGACGTCGGCGATGCATCGAGGGCGTCGGTGTGGGTAAACACGGGCTCCACATCGAGCCGCATCGTCGATGCATCGGCGATGCGGCGCGATCCTCCGACCCCATCTACTCGGACCCCATCCAGGAGGCCTAGACAATAGGCCCCCCGGTAGCGAGACCGAGCGTTCCCTGGCGGAGTGGGCAATCGAGCCCCATATCGGCAATCACTGGGCGAATCGGTGGGCTTCGAGAAGAACAACAGAGTAAACAAAGCAAATCCGCCGACCCTGTCGGCGTGTGTGAGGGGCTTGTCCGTTCAAGTCGTCATCTCCGTCATTCGTTGGTCGTCGTCTCTGTCGTCCCCTTTCCCTGCCTCCCTTTTTCCCTGGGCTCGTCGAAGCTCCCCACTTTTCCAGGGACCTCCTCAACGCGCCAACCAAAGCGAAGTTGAGCAACGTCGTAATTGAGTCGAAGGGAAGCCCCTTCCCTTCGATCCCTTCCCCGCCAGGGGGGGGGGGCGGGGGGGGGCTCAGGGAGGGGGGGGTCAGATACGACGCAGTCCCGGAAGCCAAAAATGCCCCAAGACGGGCCAAGAGTGCCCCAAGAAGCCCCAATGACAGTCCAAGAGAACCCCGAATCGCCGAACGATCTGTCCAAGACGCCCTGACGGCCTCCAGACGGCCCAAGAGGCCTGCAAAGCGCCCCAAGAGTCCACCAGGAGCTTTCCCACGAGAGCCCCAAGAGGCAAAAATCATGGTTCCCCTATACGTTTTTAACAGATTTGGGCGTTCTTGCCTCTTCCGCTTCCCGACGCGCCAAGACGGCCCAAGAGGCCCCCAAGATCGCCCCGAGACGGCCCAAGAGGCCCTCAACAGGGTCCCCTATCGGCCGAAGAGGGCCCCAAGACGGCCCAAGACGCCTCCAAGACGGCCCAAGATGCCCTCAAGATTGCCCCAAGACAGCCCAGGGGAGCCCCAAATTGCCCAGGAGGCCTCAAAGCGTGCCTAGAGAGGGCGCAAGAGGTGCCCTGGACGCCCCAAGACGCCCTCAAGAGAGCCCCAGGCTGTCCCAAGAAAGCCTCTGGCCTCCTCCTCTTCCTCCTCCTCTTCTCCTCTTCCTCCTCCTCCTCCTCCTCCTCCTCCTCCTCCTCCTCCTCCTTCTGCTCCTCTTCCTCCTCCTCCTCCTCCTCCTCCTCCTCCTCCTCCTCCTCCTCCTCCTCCTCCTCCTCCCCCTCTGCTCCCCCTCCTCCTGCTCTCCTCTGCCTCCTTCTCCTCCTATTGCTTCTCCTCCACATCCTTGACCCCCCTCCTCCTCCCTCATCCATCTCCCCCACCCTTCCTCCACCTCCCACTCATCCTCCTCCCCCTGCCCCCCCTCGTTTTCATCGTCGTCGTTCTCAGGGTCGGCGGCACTGGCCGTAAGGCCTTCGCAATCGTTCGACACATCCGAAGACCCGCAGGGATTTCATTAATCGGCGCTGGACCCCCGCCCTGGCGCGCTCCGCGCGCCAGGGGGCGGCGCCGGAGGCGTCGCCAGGGGGCTCCAGCGCCGATCGGAGAGATCCGCGCGGACCTCTGAGACTTTCCTTCTTTGGTCAGTGCTTATGTCAGGGTGTTCATCCAGATCAGTGGGCGACTGGGGGTCGATTCGTTCCCCTGCGCCCATCACCTCTCCCTCATGGTGCCCCTGACCTCCCGTTCGTGGCCCCCGCCGCTCCTGTTCCTGCGGCTCCTGGGGCTGCGCAAAACCAAATCCGCAGAAGCCACAATTTTCGGATCTCCGCGCGGTGTTCGTGCATCGGCGCCGGGGGCCCCCCCGCGCGCCAGGGGCGGCGCGCCGGAAGCGCCGCCAGGGGAGCCCAGCGCCGATCCAAGAAATCCGCGCGGCGCTTTTTGTTCATGCCGTTTCGCTGGTCTTCGACCAGCGGTGCCCCCGACCTCCCGCCCCTGGGCCCCCGCTGCTCCGGCTCTTGCCGCTCCCGGGGTGGCGCGCTGCTCTGTCGATTTTGGGTTTCGCCGAGCGGCGGCGGAGCTCCGCAGGTGCGCGAGGACAGACGGCTGGCGCGCCGGACACTTGAGCAACTGCTCGAGTGCCTACGGCAGGTTCGCGCCGTGTCGCTCCCGGCGCTGGTTCCTGACACCGCGGGGATCGCGCAAGCTTGAACGTTCGGCCGTTTCAGAAACGCTGGATCTTTCAACGAGGGGCCGATTCTGGGCCAATGGCGGCGCTCGACCTTGAACGCTGACAGCAAGGTCGTAGCGAGTCGACGCGACGCGAACCTTACTGTAATGGTGGGATGCGCCGCATTTACTAAGCGGTGCTTTCGCACGTGGGAGGGGGCTCGAGCGCGCCACGGCCAACCAGACTCGAAGGTGTCCCTGGGGCCAGGCCGCGATGTGTTCTTCGGAAGCGCTTCGGGGTGCGGCGAGACGGGGAGGGAGGGGGGTAGCCGATCTGCTGTCGGAGCGCGTGTCGGGAGATCCAGACCCCGAAGCGGGGGCCGATTGACAGCATCGTTGCCTGAATGGCCGCGGACGGGCTGCGCCGAGGCAAGCAATCGCAGCCTTCCTCCTTTTCTCCTCCTCCTCCTCCTCCTCCTCCTCCTCCTCCTGTTCCGCCTACTCCTCCCCGCGCCCAACCCCCTCTCCTCCCTTTCCTCCTCCTCCTCCTCCTCCTCCTTCTCCTTTACCTCCAACTCCTCCTTTACCTCCTCCTGTTCATCCGTGTCCTCCTCCTTCTCCTCCTCCTCCTCCTCCTCCTCCTCCTCCTCCTCCACCTCTCCTCCGAATCCCCCCACCCTCCACTCCCATTCATCGCTGTCCTCGTCCTCATCATCCTCCTCCTCCTTCTCCTCCTCCTCCTCCGCCTCGTCTCCCTCTTCCTCCTCTTCCTACTCCTCCTCCTCATCCTCCTTTTCCTCCTCCTCCTCCTCCTCCTTCCACTCCTTCATCACCGCTCATTTTCACCATGGTCATCTTTCTCTCTATCGCTCTGCCTTTCCTCCTTCGTCCTCCGTCGCCTCCTCCTCCTCAGCCACATCCTCCGTGTTTACCCTCGCCCTCATCGCCCCTCACCGCTGCCATCCTCCGAATCCCCCTGCCCCTCCGAACATTCCTTCTTCCTGCAGTCCGGGGGACGCTCGTATGATGTGTCCGCATCATTCCGGGGACAGGCAGATGAACTCGACGTCGGCCCCCGCCCGAAGGAACGAGTGACGCAACCTGCCATTCCACTCGGGCGTTGGTAGAACTGGGTTTAGTGGAACCTGGTTCAGTGATCTGTACCGGGGGCGCCACCCCGTCCCATTTCCACTCACCGGAACTGCTGTCCGTCACCCGAAAAAAAAACACCAGCTATGGCAAGCCTGGTTCGGTGATCCTGGCCAATTCAAAGGCTCTGGGGCCCTACCACTAACCGGGTCCCCTTACCCGGGGTCCTTAAAACAGGGCTAGGATCGGGATAAATCGCTCCAGAGCGTTCCGGAGCGCTCTCAGAGCGTTCCGGAACGCTCTGGAGCGGCCGCGGCGCCCAATACATCCTCCAAACTCGCCGATTCTCAGAGATTTCGAGTTATCCCGATCCGATGTTGTCCCGATCCTCGCGTCGTTTTAGTCCTGGCCATACCCGATCGAAGCACCCCTGAGAGACGCCACCTGCACTCCCGGCGCAGACCCAGCAGGAGGCGGGAGCGAAGCGCAGGGCGACGCGCGCGAGAGGCACCGGGGGCGCACGGTGCAGGCCCGGTAGGCGGCCCCTCGCGGGGGCAGGCGAGCCTCGGAGCTCACGGCGGCACCTCTTGCGGCGCCGAGAGGTCGCACAGCATCTGGGGCGCTTGGTCGGTCGCCATTGCGTTCCTGTGCAGTGCAGACGTTTGGGAAAGAAGACGGTTGCAGTTCGAACACCCTCTTCGCTTGGGTCTCCGTCGGTTCCAAGCGTGTCACGTTGGCTCGAGTGGCCTCCGCGCCCGCTTGGCAGGCCCAGCGGCCAGAAGCCCCGTCGTACAGCAGAGGGCGTCTCCGCGTCGATGCAGCAGTGGTCTGGCCTTGAAGCCGAACAAGGCGGGCGGCAATGCCCGGAGTGAATGCGCGCTTCTCCTTTTTATTGAATTCAAACTGGTATTTGAATTCAAAAACCAGATTTCTGAGTTCGAAAACCGGTCCTTGAATCCAGAAGCCCTTTAAAATATTAAAACACCGGTGTTCTTGAATCCAAAACGTCGTTGTTTGAGCTCATAAGCCCGTTTTTGAACTGAAAAGCCAGATGCTGGGTTTTTGCGGCTGCAGCGTGCTGCTGGAGCCTCTCCTTTTTTAGGGGGCAAACAAACCTACCTCGCTTCTGACCACCCTCGCTTCCAAGAGATACCAAGCGATGCCAGACTGCGGCCTGTACTGGTCAGGCCGCTTGACGAGGAGGCGCGTGCTATGACTTGGTTTTGCCTGGAAGCGAAAGCGTGGTAGGTCATTCACGCTCTGAGTGTTGCTGGAACCTCTCCTCCTCGACAACGTTCTCGTCCGCGGCGCGCGGCCCGCTCCACGCCGCCGCCGGGCACGGAACCCGGCTCCGCTGGCCTCGCCTCGCGGTTGGCTGCAGGCCTCCTCCCCCGTGGCAGCCGCCGTCTCGGGTCCGGGTCACGGCGCTCCAGTCCCCACGGGGTCGCGGCCGCCGGCGCAGCGGGAGCGCCCCCGAGACGCACTGGAAAGGCTTTGACGCTGAACTGGATGTGAGACTCGCCGTTGGGAGTCTCGCGCTCGTGATCCACGACGCTGACGCTGTGGGTGCCCATGCGCATCGCCTGGAGCAGACTGATGAGGAGGCCGCCTCACCTAGTCGGCGCCCAGACGGGGAACCGGCAACACGTGCACGATCAGATTGTCCGCGCAAGTGGACACAACTTGACAACGCCTTGCCGGCCACAGTCCAGCTCACGAGTGGCCCACGGGAGCCCGGCGGCCGAGACTACTGCTGCGCGGGGCGGCAAGGGGGGGGGGGGGGGGGGCCCCAGACACGGCGGCCCGCGAGTGCAAGCAAATGCCCCCACCCCCACCTCCGCCACAAGGCCGCCTCCTCCTCCTCCTCCTCCCCCTCCTCCTCCTCCTCCTCCTCCTCCTCCTCCTCCTCCTCCTCCTCCTCCTCGGCCTCCAGCTGCCCGACGTTCCTCCGCCCACGGGAGGCCGAGCAGCGGCCCGGAGGAGGAGGAGGAGGGGGGGGGAGGGGGGAGGAGGAGGAGGAGAAAGGAGAAGGAGGAAGGAGGGGGAGGAGGAGGGGGAGGAGGAGGAAAAGGGGAGGAGGAGGAGGAGAGGAGAGCACCACAAGAGAAGAGAGAGCGGACAAGACGCGAGCAAGGGACAAGAGGGCAAGCGCAGAAAGGAGAAGAAGAAGAAGACGCAAGGGGATGATCCTCTGGACAAGTGCGGATTCCTTGCTATCATGGTAGGCAGAACAGATGACATCAATGCACACAGCAGCAGACACCAGTTCAGATTTAGAGGCAGGCAGAAGAGGATGGAACGCGGCACGCTGGGCGCCACTGGCAATGAAAGAGCGCTCGGACAGATGGGGCAATAAGGGAAAGATGCACTGTAAGGAACTACGCTCTAGATACTGACGGAGCGAATCAGGGCAAGTTCTGACTTTACAGAAGTGGCACGCACGAGTAGGCCCTGGGAACCTAGCCGAGGTGGTCCAGGCGTTGCATATGGTACGATAAACACTGGCAACAATACAGGCAGGAGCGGCTTGGGCAAGTCTGCGAACCGCAATGGTAAGCAGCACGCGTTCATGCATAGTCCCAGGCCGGCCGAGGTGATGATCAGCTCTGCTAGCTAAACAAGTGGCGGCCAGATCAGACCGCCGACGACGGAGAATACGCTCAGTCTTCATTTGCATCCGAAACTGCGCGACTGGGGGCACATGAGGGATGGCAGTGAGAGCGAGAAAAGTACCAAGCAAATGCGAGAACATACTGGACTTATACCAAGAATGATGGCGCCATAATAAGATACAATCGTCAGAATCGCTGAAACCAGCCAGAAGGTCCCGAATTTCGAAAAAGGCAGGCGTGGCACAGGCCAGCCTATACAAGGCCGCGCGGGAAACACACTGGAAGTCCCGAACTTCACAGGGAAACCACAAGCTTTTTAAATCGGTGAGCATGCCAGTCGAAAAAGCGTTGCGAGGGGCAGGTGTGATATTTTGCACAGCAGTGTCAACAGCACGCAGGGCCTCAGGAGATGGGCGATAGTACTGCGTGGCGTGCGACAAGACAGAGAAACCCACCGAGTTGAACTGCATGGTGCTCTTGGCGAACCCCAGGGGCAAGTGCTTGATGGCCCGTGCACGACTGATACACTTGGTGGTAGGCGCAATCCAGCTGTCAAGGTGGCCTGACTGGCCAAGACTGGTACCAAGGTACTTCCCTGACTGCACAACACGAAACGACCACGGCATGAATCCAGCACCAAGCAGCTTCTGATGAATGTACTCGCCATTGGCACTTAGAACACGTATGACCACTGTCTTCGAGAGGTTGAGCTTCCAACCTGATGCCCGAGTGCCGAAGTTCAGAATGGGCAGCGCGGCAGCGAGGGTAGAGAAGACATCAGCGCATCCCACTCCAAGGTCGTCGGCGAAGGCACCGAAAATATTGACTCGCGCAGGTAGACGATCAGCAAGCATGCGAAGAACAGGGTCGATCGCCAATGCAAACAGACTGCCCGATAAAAGAGCATCCTTGTTTAATGCTGCGAGTCGCGGCAAATTGTCCGCCACGGGCGCCGCCAAATGATACTGATACCCGAACATTGTGGTACAGCAACTTGATACTCGCACGAATATGCGCAGACACTGCTAGCATTTCCAAAATCCAGAAGATATACTCGTGCGCCAACGTGGGAAAGCACTCTCATAATCAAACGCGATAAATCCCGCGTCCACATAGCCATGCTGGACCAGCCAGTGTAATACATAACCTTCCAGCTGCACAAGGTTTTGGCTCATGGGGCGATTCTTGACGAAGCCGCGCTGGAAGTCCACGCAAGAAAGTTGAAAAGCATAGCCCATAGGTGCATTGATGGCGGCCGAGATCAGTTTGTTATCATTGTTGCTCAAAATTATTGGCCGTGTCTTGTCAAGAAAACGGAACAACCCAGCATGATCAGATTGCTCGGAACTTTTGGCCAAAAAGACTGCGTCGACTTCGTTGAAGTCAGGATTCGAAAGCCTGCCTGCTTGAAGCTCGCGATAAACATTATACAGAAGGTTGTGCGCGAAATCCCCCGCACGGGTCATGGCAGAAAATGGCAGCAAATCAGGACCTGGCGCAGCATCTCGTTTCTTGTAGATGAGCGTTGCGAACTCGTCGCGTTCGAGCGCCCACAGGATGTGACCAGGAAATGGGCGCACGTATTGACGAAGCCCGAGTCAAGCGTCATAATCAGGAGAAGCATGCGCATGCACACGGCCCCAGAACCACCCAAGACGTGCGCAGACCTCATCGGGGTCCGTGATGTGCTCTCCCGAGGGATCATAAACACTTGCGAGAGAAATACGCCTCCTAACCGAGCCCCAAGACGACATGTAGCTACCTATCTTGATCCTCTCGAGTTGCTTCTGGGGCTCGGGGATCTTCCCCTCCTCCACTTCTTGCAGCCGATCCTCGAGATGCCGAATGTTGAGGGAGGCGAGGTGAGCGTGGAACCCGGCCAGGTCCAGCCAGAGGAGCGAGTCGCACTCAACGAACTCCTTGAGCTTAGGGTAAGCACGAAGCGCTCGTACCAGCAGGTCAACATGGGTCCTATCGTGGGGCAACTGATTGACAATGCGCATGGCCACCAGGGCCCACGAGATGAACTCAGGAGTGCTTGTGGCTCCAGCTCGCTCAAGTTCACGTTTGACTTTTTGGACTCCAGCGCGTAGAATGTCTTTACCTTCCTCGAGAGCCTCAAATGGGTCCAAGGAGATGACGCCAATCTCATCGTACACCTCCTGGCACATGATGGGGTACAGGGGATGTTTGGAAATCCACCGCGGGATACTCTGGACTCTCCGAAGCAGCTTGGGAGAAAAGGACAGGACAACGGGCAGGTGGTCTGACAGGGGCTGCTTCTCACAGGCTTTGCCGATCACGAACGAGTGAAGACCATAATCGAGTAACTAAGCAGTGTACATACTAGTGTATATACGATCCAGCCGAGAGACATACACTACATGAGCAACACCGTCAACGGGGTCGGACCGACCGGGGATGTGGATATCCTGGCGCGATAGCACCTGGTGAGTAGGATGTGGCTGCTCGATCTCACACATGCCCGGGAGCAGCCTGGAAAAGAACTGGGCCATCGCGTGCGAGGTGTATACCCGACGACCAGAAAGATGAGCACTCGCCCCCCCTTCCGCAACGAAATTGAAGTCACCAGTGATGAAGCTCAGGGCGCAGGACTGCGGGGCGAGCTTGCTTTTGACTAGCCTCAGGAAATCTTTTGCCCTGCTCTATGTTGTTCAGGCTGAATGTGAATATTGAAGACATGCATCGCCCCATAATTGCCCGTGCATTTTATCATATGAGCTCGCCCAGGGACCAGCACATGATGAGAGATATGGTTAAATCGAGCACGAAGACTGGGATGAACCATGATGATGCAACCGCCAGCGGGGGCAGTTTCAGCTTCAGAATGAGGAGCGTCGCAAAACGTGCCATACCCAAAGCCATCAACCGTTCCTTTCAGACTTTGACGTAAATCATGTGAACTGCCACGGGCTTCTTGAATGCAGACGATGGAGTGGCGAGAGACGAGATGTAGAAACCGATGCGCTTGTTTTTCTCAGTAACTGCGGCGAGGACCACTGCGAGCCGAACAGGGACTGGGCGCTCCAGGACACGATAGAAAACTAGTCGCGAGGCCGGAAAGGCAACTGCTGCGCTGCCAGCGGACCCGGGCCACCCGGCGTAGGCGAAGGCGACGAGCTGGAGGAAGATGACGACCTGGAACTGCCAGAAGAAGAGGAGGAAAAAGGAAGCCGAAGAAGAGCTGAAAGTACTGCTGCTGAGCGTTCGAATTCGCGAAGTGCGCGGGCGTTTAAGCCCGCGGCCTGAAGCGCGCGCCGAAGTCCCACGGCAGAAACGCTTCACCCCAGAAAGTCGGGCTGCTCGCATAGAATGCTCCCAAAGCAGGCCCTCGCTCAGGTCGTGCTGACTGTCCTGCGTTGGAGCGTGTCACAGCGAGCCACGAGGGCCAACTGCATTGCACCACTCCGTCATGCTCTCCTCGGGGATCTGGAACTGCGAGAGGTGGCTGGGCTCGGGCTCGAGGACCCACTGGGCGTGGTCGAGCTCCTGGATGCGGGCTATCACGAAGATATCGTCGTTGACCGTGACGAACAAGAAGCCTCGGAAGCCGTTGCAGCCGATCTGCCAGTGTTGACCCCGAAAGTCGACGTTGTGAGTCTTCCAGTGCTCAACGACCCTCTGCCAGACTTGACCGAGCACCTTGTGCCGCGCACGAACGAACGGCGGGGCGTCGAACCTGACCCTCAACTCGACCTGGCCGAGCTTCGTGTCCTGGTAGAAGAGCCCCCTGGTCCTGGCATCATCAAGGAACTTCTTGGCCTCATCCTCATCTGGAAACTTGAAACTGTACGACTGCGAGAAGTTAGTGGCGTGGACCGTGTCGTTCTTGGTCGTGTCCAGCGGGAACTGCTGCTTGACCCAGTCGGAGCGCCGTTGCAGAACACGGGCCACCATGGGTCTCTTGAAGCCGCCAATCCACACCTTTGTTTTGTCGCCAGCTGTCTGTGTCGGGCGCGGGCGCCCATCGGCTTCACGATTAGGGGAGCTGCCAGAACCTCCCGCGTAGAAGCCATCTGAAACTTGCGGTCGAGCTCGTCAAACTTGGCTCGAATCTTAGCGTCCAAGGCGGTGTCGAGAGCCTTGTCGACTGATGATTGAATATCAGTGTGGATGGAATCGTATTGGCGCTGCATGATCTCGAACTTGAGGTCGTGGTCAGCCAACTGCTGCTGCATCGTGCCGACCGAGGCGCAGACTCGATTCATGGGTTGGATGAGCGCCTTCAGCCATCCAGGTTGGGAGGACGGCGCGGCCTCCCCGTCCATCTCTTCGTCGGATCCCTGAGTGATCAGGTCCACCAGCGAGTCCGCCTTGCGCTTGCCATTGTAGCCGTCGCCGGGGATCGCCCCACAGTCCCCGCCCTCGGCGTCCACGAAGCGATCTTCATCCTGGGAAGCGGCCGCAGCAGCCGCGCCAGAAAGGGCCATCGGGACAGGGGAGACAGGAGTAATGCTGGAAAAGACGGTGCAGCAACAGACAAAAGGTGCCGCAAAATGCGAGCAGAAGGCACGGGCACTGAAGCTCACGTGCCGCGAGGCCTGACCTCGCAAGAAGGCCGCCCTGAGCCGACCCCTCGGCAGCGACCAAGCTCGAAGCGCCAGGGAAGCGTTTCGAACTTGAGCCAAAATGGCTAAGGAAGGAGGAGGAGGAGGAGGAGGAGGCGGAGGAGGAGGAGGGGCCGATGCCCCTGGGCAAACTGGAAAACCCCCAGGGGGGGATGGGGCTCGGGCGCCCGAGGCGGCCCGAGAGCCGCAGGGGATGCGGCAGCTTGCCGCGGCGGCCACGCGTCAGCAGGGATACCTTAAGTCGGGCCTGTCCCGTTTACAGGAGGAATATCCCAAAATTATTTAAAACATGGTTTGGGACGATGTTTTTTTTAGGGAGAGGCATAGGGGGGAAACATCGACCTGGAGTCGGCGATGCATCACAGACTGAGCGGCGAAAGGTCCCCGAGGGTTAATCCGCAGCCAATGACAAGCCCCCGATCGGCGATAGGCCCACTGACATTTTTAGCCCGCGTCCAGGGCGTCCCATCTCCTCGCCGTCGGCTTGCCCTTGTCCTCGTCGGCACCGACGTCGCAGTCGTCGTCGCCGCGGTCGCAGCCGTCGTCGTCGTCGCCGCAGTCGTCGCCGTCGAAGTCACCGCCCCCGCCGCCGTCGCTGCCGACGGCACCGCCGCCACCTCCGCCGCCGCCGTCACAGCCGCCGCCGTCGGCTTCAGCGCCTTCGCCGATGTCCTAGTCGAGCGCATGCGCGGGGCTGCAGAGGCGTCCTCTGGCAAGGACACGTCGGCCAACACCTTCTTCACGCTGCTCGAGGCCTCGTCGTACCGGAAGCGTTTCAGATGCAGCCTCGGGCGAGCGCGCGGCGGTCTGCGGCTGCGGCCGCAGGGCGGACGGCGAGATCCATACATACACATCGCACCTGACCAGGCCCATTCGGGCGGGTGGTAGTGGGGGGTGGCCCAAATGGGGGGCGCAGAAGAAGTCCCTCGAGGGGTCATTTGGGGCCCCTTGTTGAGCCAGCTGGTGCCCAAAAGGGGCCCTAAAGGGTGCCTTGTAGCGCCTTTGTTTCACCCCCCACTTGCTGGCCATCGCTCGGACGTCCATTTCCTGTGTTTTTTGTTCGGTTTCGTGCGTGGTTTTTTCGCCAAATGATCCAGGATGCTCCTCGATGGTCCTCGCCGAAGGAACAATGCACACGTCCGAGCGATGCCAAGCTTGGGTCACCCCCCATTGCCATCCACCCGACACATCCTGAACCCAGGATCGGCCTGGTGCGTATGCCTCCCTGGCCAGGGGTGGTCCAGCGCATCCCAATGAACAACCCGCGCAAACAGCCGAAACTGGACGACGATTCCCCAAACAGTGATTGCACCCAGGGGTTCTTACGTAAGGTCCTTGCGTACTTGGATTATTCCGCCGAGGATGTTCCACGTTGTCGCCCCGTGCAATCTCGTGGGCGCTCGTGGTTCTTGGCAGCACTGGTTGGGTCCGTCGGGGTTGCGCCGCGTTGACCTTCCAGCACAGCCCAAAACACGTCATAGCCTACAACACGTAGATCCAACCACGTAGCTTACACGACGTAGCTTACTCCACATAACTTCCATCGATGAGCTGTCACCTCTAGTTCACACCCCCCACATGAGACGGCGTAGCTTGCACTGCATCATTACCACCTCAATCTCACACCACGTACATTCGACTGCATAGCATACACGATACACCATGCACCCCATAGGTCTCACCTGCGGAAGCAACATCACATAGCTTACGCGACTCATCTACCTAGTCCCTGGAGAATGGCTCTGCAATTCTGTTTCGAAACCAGGGGTCTGCGGAACAGTCAGTACGGAACTCTCCAAACGCACATTGGAAGCCAAACGAGTTTCAACAGACTGGCCCCGCTGCTCGCAGTTCCGCCACCGGGGCGCGCACTTCCCAGCCGTCGCTCTCATCAACGCCGCCGAAACAGAATATTGTCGTCGACCACCATCATCACCGACTCCGGCACCAACACACGGACGCCATCACAATTGTGTGCGCCGCCATTACCGCCATCATCACGCAAACGCATTCACCAACGACATATGGACATTATATCATCGTCATCGCTGTCACACTCATTAACGTCGTCATACTCTCAACCGCAATCGCTACAATCATCATAATTACATGATGTCGCGAATTGTCGACGTCATCATGATAATTACTGCACCCGAACTGGCTAACGACCCGCATTGAAGTGCCCGCGCGCCAGCGCGGCCTTTGAGAAACGCTGGGAAGTTGTCATCAGTAAGTGCCATCGCGGCAGCATTGATTGTGCCAAACCACCTGGTCGCTCTGCGCGCGAGCTTGCGCGCGCTAGCGCAACCGCAGAGATGCGCGAACCAGCCATGCAGCAACACAATGTTTGAGGCCGACACTGGCCAGCATGACTGTTCATGCCGTGCTTCCGTATTCTTCCCACCAGAACCACCCGCGCGCTTCGCGCGCGCTTAGGTTCTAGCAAGCTCCAGCCCTTGACAATCTCACAGTTGCGTGCAAATGCGTATGCACACATACAACGTCACGACTTACCCACAGATGATTCCAACATAGGGTGAATGAGAATTAAGAACGTGGGCCGCTCAGAGACGAGTTCGGACAAGGCGCGATACGAAGATTCCAAGGGCGCCCCAGGGGGGTGTGACAGAGAACTCCAAAGGGCAATCCAAGAGGATCCCAAAAGCGCCATGAGAGGGGCCCAAAGGGGGTCCCAGGAGAGGCTCGAAGAGGGCCCCAAGAAGCCACGGGACGTAGTACAGGAGGGCCTCAACAGGCGTCCCAAGAGCGCACGAAGGTGGCCCCAAAGTGGCCTCCAGAGAGTCCGGGGAAGTGCCCCCGCAAAAGCCGGACAGGCTTCGGAAAGGGGCCCCGAGGCGAAGGCCCGACAGCGACGCAAGACGTGCGCCGAGGAGACTTCAGAAGGAGGCCGAGGAGGGCTCAGAAAGAGCTCTAAGAGCAGCGTTAAGTCGGGCGCGTCCCCTTACAGGGGGATTTTGGGCGAACAAAAATCAAACAATAGTCAAAAAATATCCCCAAATCGTCAAAACATGGAACAAAAATAATCCCCTGACTATTTTTGTACTATTTTTGACTATTCCTCCTGTAGAGGGACACGCCCGACTGAACTCCAAGAGCAGCGCCACAATTGCCCCGAGAGGTGCTCCAGGAGGCACCGAGCATGCCCACGGCCCGAGGAGGGCTCCGAACAGGGTGTTCTGCAACATGGGGGGGGGGGCTTCCCCCGCCTTCGCCGGCCACAGGGGGGGGGGGCTCGCCGTCGTCGCCGTCGCCGGTGCCGGCGCCGTCGCCGACGCGGCCGCCGTGGTCGCTGTCGTCGTCGTTGTCGTCATCGTCGTCGTCGGCGTCGTCCTCGTCGACCTCGTCGTCGTCGTCCTTTTCGTCGTCCTTTTCGTCGTCCTTATCGTCGACGTCATCGTCGGGTGGTGCTGGAGAGCGCCGAAATCAGTCACATACCGAAAGCGAATTCTCTTCGTGTGCCACTCCGAGAGCCCGTCGTCCCCTCCTGCCACCGTGCATGGGTTCTGTGTCAGAAGCCGTTTTGAAGCCTCCGGGAGGCCGTTTGGGAGTCCCTTTTGGGCTTCTTCGGGGCCTCTTTTGGCTCTCTTGGGGCATCTTGGGGGCCTCTTGGGGGCCTCTTGGAGCCTCCTTGGGGGCCTCTTGGTGCGGAAGGCTCAACTTGTCGGTTCGCGTTCCCCCTCTTTGGCTCCTCTTGAGGCCGTCCTGAGGCCCTCTTGGGCCGTCTTAGGCGCCTCTTGGGCCGTTTCGGGATCCTCTTGGGCCGTCTTTGGGGCCTCTTGGGGGCCTCTTGGGCCCTCTTGGGGCGATGTTGGAGGCTTCTTGGGCAGTCTTGGTGTGTCGGAAGCCCGAAATCGCGAGAACGCGAAAAACATTGAAACACGATGAACATCAATGATTTGGGTTCCTTAATGGGACCTCTTAGGGGCCTCTTGGGCCACCATGGGGTCATCATGGGCGGCTTGATGCGCTCATGGGCCGTCTTGGCGGCCTCTGGGCGTCCTCCGCGGGCGCCGAGGAGGGCCCTCGAGGCACAGGGAACGACCTGGAGCGTTCAAACAGGCCCGCCGGCGCCGGGAGCCGGACGCCGCTTATATGATACAAGAGGGGGAAGTGGACTGGCATGAGAGACATGATACATCGACGATAATAACCTCATGCCCGTGAGAATAAACACTAGGGGAAAATAAAGTTCGGGGTTCAGGGAGATATAATAAAAGTAGCCCAGCAGACCTCAGCATAATCTCGAAGTAAGAGATGATCAAGAGGAGACCAAGCCGAGCACGTTTTGAGACATCCTTGGCGTTTAGTTTTCATAGAAATATCCTCAACAATGGCTTATCTCGCTGGAGACATCCTCGACAAATCCCTTGTTTCGCTTGAGACATCCGCAAACTATTGCTTATTTCGCTTGAGACACAATCAATGTGCCTCAATTTCCATAGATAATCAACCCCAGAGATAAAACAGTTCAGGCGAGCGTGGGGACAGAGAGAAATATAAAAGAAGAAGAATACAGTAGAAGAATAATAAGAAAGAAGAAGAAGAGGATAATAAGAAGAGGACGAAGAAAGGAAAAATATCCAAAGTTCCAAATCTATCGATTTTAATTTACAAACGCTTTATGAAAATTGATTTTTTAAGTGCTCGTGTAGGGTAGCTCATGTGCTTCATTTTCCATGGATAATCAACCCCAGGGATAAAAAAGTTCAGGCGAGCGTGAGGACAGATAGAAATATAAATTAAGAAGAGGAAAGTATAATAATAATAATAAGAGAAGAAGAAGAGAAGAAGAAGAAGAGAAGAATAACGGAAAAATGGAAAGTTCCAAATCTATCAATTTTAATTTACAAACGCTTTGTGAAAATTGATTGTTTTAAGTGCTCGTGTAGGGTAGCTCATGTGCTTCATTTCCCATGGATAATCAACCCCAGGGATAAAAAAGTTCAGGCGCGCGCGGGGATAGATACATATATAAAAAGGAAGATAAGACAAAATATAAATAAAAAGAAAAAATGCTGTTTTAGTTTGAAACATCCTTGAGACATCCTTGGAACATTGCTCGTTTCGTTTGAGTCTGCCTCCCAAAATTATTGGTTTCGCTTGACACATCCTGAAAAAGTGTGATCGCTTCGCTTGATGTTGCTATATCAACATCGCTTGATGTTGCTATCTCAACATAGCGTTTCGAGGTGATAATGAAGTTCGGCCTCAGCGCTCGCCGCCCAATTTGAATTTTGTATAGGGCGACGATAACCAACTCTAAACACTGAAGGGGGGGGGTCCCTTTATTATCATCGGCATGCGGTTATATCGGCAACGTCGGCGATGCATCGGCGACGTCGGCGTGGGGAAACTGCGGCTCCACATCGAGCCGCACTGCCCGTGCACGGGCGATGTGGAGCCATCCTTCGGCCCCCCGTGCTCGGACCCCCATCCAGGAGGCCTGGAGGACAGGAGCCACGAAACGCTTCAGGGGTCCTGGAGCTTTGTGGGCCCCAGAAACGGCAGGATAAATGTTTTCACCATTTCCAAAAAAACCTTGAAAATGGAAACGGCCAAAAAAACGGCGACCGGAAACGGCAAAAAAAAACGGCTCCAGGATTGGAACCGGAGCCGGAACCGGTCACAAAAAACGGCGACAAAACGGGTAACAAAAACGGCGTCGGCACCGGCCACCAAAACGGCACAACGGAACCCCGGTAAAAGAGCGGCCCCGTCGTGCCCAGGGCCCACTGAGTGCAGCAGTCCCGGGGCCCTGCAGGGCCCGCCGTCTCTCCGCTCGGGGGGAGCGCAAGCTGGCCCCGCGGCTCCTCGGAGCGCCGGCGGCGAGCGCCCGGGGCGGGCGAGTGCGAAGAAACCGCTTCGACACCGCGCCCCGCCCGACCTCTCGAGAAGGAAGGGGACGACGACGCCGACGACGAGGACGAGGACGAGGACGAGGACGACGACGACGACGGGATGGGGGGGAACAGAAGGGGAAAGGTGAGGGCGGGCTCGTCCGCTGCGGATGGAGGTGGTGGGCGAGCTTGTGCAGAAGCGGGCGGTCGATCGATGTCTCATCGCTTGGGGTTCGCGAGGGACGGCAAGAACGCCGCAACCATCTGGCGCTGAGCCGTGCGTTGGCCAGGAAGGGCTGCCCTTGCAGCGCAAGTTGCCACGGCGGCCGCCACATGTCAGACCGCGCTTCAGAACATATGTGCCCTCTCACTCCTACGATATCCGTGCCACCTTCATGTTGCAGAGTCGTGCCATCTGATGGGCGAGGGAGGAAGGAGGAAGAGATGGAGGGGGGAATAATAATGCTCGAGGACGAGGAGAACGAGAGAGATGAAGAGAACGAGAGAAGCGGCAGCGGGTGCGTCGGACAGTGGGGCCGAGCGCGCTCTCTGCTCACCTGGGCCGTCCGGGCCAGACCGTCCGAGGGCGCGGCATGATGGCGGGGGGCAGCTTGTACAGCTCCATGCGCTTGGTCGCCTCCCCCCAAATCCGCACGTCTCTGCCGCGGTGGCTCGCTTAAGTCGCTGTAACAGTGTTGACTGAGAGCCTCGCACCCCTCCACCCCAGGCAAGGACCAGGAGGGGAGGGGGGAAGCACCGAGCAGGTAAGGCATCGTGCTGCCGTGAGCAGGGCAGAATCGGGAACGAAGGCGCGTTGCTGGCGACGGCGAGCGCTGCGAGTCGATCTGTCGATGAAGGCTGAGAGCATCGCACCCCTCCGACCCCGGGCAACGGACAACGTGAGTATCGTTTGACCGATCCCCCTCCCCAGAGGCGTGGCCTGGGCCCTTACTGGCCGATTTACCCCCCTAGATGGGGATATGGGCCGTTCCATTCGGGTTTCGAGGGGTGCATCCCCAACTAGGGTGGTGATTTGGTGGGGGTCTCGAAGGGGATGGGGATGGGGATGGGGATCGGATCAAGGATACTGACAAGGGGGGGCGGCCACGTCGGGAGGAGGCGAAGCGGCGGACATCAGCAGGCTCGTGAGGCCTCCATCGAGAAGTCGGGATGCGGATCGGAGTCCGAAGTCGCGTCGAATCGGGATCGGAAGCCCTGGAGATCTGCCCGCCGCTCGGACGAAGTGGGTGGAAACATGGAGGAGGAATGTGCTGAAGGCAGATGGTGCTTCCGCCCGCCCCCCTGATGGCAGGATGGAAGAAGGACAACCGTTCGCTCATTTGAAAGGGCCCCAGGAAACACAAATAAATGCACACAAATAAAATGATTCCCCATATTTTCTCATATTGTTAAGGCTTTTGTCTTTCCCCACACTTCCCATATGCTCGCGTACTTTCCTGGGGATCGACGATTAATTGTGTCTGTGTTTTTCCCTCCTGATCATTGCAGTAGGAAGCACCAACTCATTACCTTCTTTCAACGACCGGCGCGTGCAGACGGACCCAGGCCAGAAGAACATCCCTCAAGAACATGAGGCCCTCCGTCGGCCAACACACACACAGAGAAGGTCCAAAGGTACCCTCACAGGGAGGCACCAGAACACCCAGCAAGCACGACGACCATCAGGGCACGCTCCCCCGAACCGACCTCGATCTCGTACCTCGGTCCGACTGCAATCGAACCGCAGCGGAGGCGCCGGGGAACGATCGAGCGGCGGGGCACGGTTCCCCCTGGGGCCGCAGGCGACCCGAGGAGGAGGAGGAGGAGGAGGAGGAGTAGGAGGAGGTGGGAGGGGAGTGGGAGGAGGTGGAGGAGGAGGTGGAAGAGGAGTAGGAGGAGGTGGAGTAGGAGGAGGTGGAGGAGGAGCAGGTCGAGGAGGAGGAGGAGCAGCAGGTCGAGGAGGAGGAAGGAGGAGGAGGAGGAGGAGCAGGATCGCACGCCACAGAGGGGAAAGGGGGGGGAGAAAGTCCGACGGTCCAAAAATCCCAGGGGGGCCCAACAGAGGGGAACTTTTTGTCACCCTGGCAGGAAGGCCAAAGACCTGCCAGGGGCCAACGACAGGGCCCCCCCTGGGTATCTAACCGCCCAGTTCTTCATCCTCCAGATCGTTGTCTGGGTCTCGCTCCTTCAGCTTCGGTCCCGATTCAGCGGCTTCGAACTCATTGAGTCCAAACGCTTGCAGGACATCTGCCAGGCACGAAAATGCACGTGCAGGTGGGTCCGAAGTGGCCCTGGAGACACCTCCTTCTCTCTGCTTTGCTGGGCCTTCTTGGACACCGAATCCCCCCCAACCAGCTCTCGCGCCCAAGCCCCAGGAGTTCGCCAAGAGCCCAGTTGGAGAGGCCTCTTGGGGTGCTTGCCCTTGCAGACAGCTCGAGTGTTCTTCCTGCCTGGGTCCACCAAGGCCTGCTGGGACCCTCCACAGCTCTTACGTAGGCCTCTGGATCCCGCAGACACCGTGACATACCCCCCGCAGGTCGAACAAAAAAGAATGGGAGGCTGGTTATCTTCAACCGCGAACAGAAGCAAAGCATGCCCTCCAATGAAGGCAGGGGTCTGGCGGAGGGGGAGAAGGAGGAGGAGGAGGAGGACAGCAAGAGGGTGGACAGCAACAAGAGGGAGATCGGGGAGAGAGCGAGCATGCCACCAATGATAAAATCCTCCTCCTACTCCTCATCCTGCTCCTCCTCCTCCTCCTTTCTGCGTTGGGCGAACTTCCGCTGCTTTGCTTGTAGCGTTCGTCCTCGTCCTCCTCCCTCCGAGGCGCGACGAGCCGGCGTGAGGTACACCCGGTGCCTCGGCTGAGCACGCAGCTCCCCCTGGCATGCTCGCCCAAACACGCTCGGTCGGGGCCGCTTCCCCAGGCCCACGGCAGGGCCCGAGCCAACCCGTGTTGTTCGTTCTCGATGTGGTCTCGCTGTCCTTCGGTCTGTGTCAGGTCTACCCCTGCCGCGAAACGGGACCGAAACGAGGACGGTCCACGAAAACTTGCCCAGACACCGTTTGGCTTGAGCCCTGGCCATGGGGTCAAAGCCTCCCTCGGAGAAAACCGTGGAGTGGCCCGATCGCTCTGCTGGAGAAGCCTCCAGGGACTCCCCGCGCGGTGCCGCCACCTCCACCACCCAGGTTGCATACGACGACGGCGAGGAGGGAACTCCGTGGGTACAGTGGAGGCCACTCCACAAGAAGCCTTCCACAAGACGCCCAACCCCGAGACCCCAGGACGTCCATCGACTTCTGGTGTGGGAACGCCACGCCTTCCGTAGCAAATGCACCGAAACCAAAGAGAAAAACAGGACGCCCTGGAGGAACGCAGGGTGTTTCCTGGCATGGACCACGACCTTGCCGTCGCTCGGACGTCCATTTCCCGTGCAGTTTTCGGTTTCATGCGTGCTTTTTTCGCTCGATGATCCAGGATGTTCCTCAAGGGTCCCATCCGAGAAAAGAATACACACGTCCGAGCGATGCCAGGCTACAGTACAACGACGGCGAGGAACACATTTTTCGCAGGTACGACTGCAGCCGCACGCAATCAGGAACCACGCCGACTCCGACCCAGCAGCATCACAGGCTGGAGCACGAAACTCGGGAGCGGCCAAGAGGGGCGTGTCCAAAAAAGGGGGGGGTGCAAATCATGACCGGCGGCATGTGCGCGGCCCAGCGGGGGGGCCAGGGACGTAATAAAATGAGAAGAGGCGCCATGAAGTCTGGGGGAATATCATGACCCCCGCCACAATATCCCCCCCCCTAGTCACCACCCCCCTTTTTTCTGCCCCCGAGAAACGTCGGCGTCGGTCCCCAGACCTCTGCCGGGACACGTGCGGACCAGGCCTTCGAGGCGAACTGAGTCGTGGCGACGAGGGTCCTCCAGGAGGCCCCCAAGCATTGGAGCAACAGCACGCGTTCACTCCTCGCTGAAGGGGCCCCAGGACACACACAAATAAATACACACATAAACATATTTTCCCATAATTTCGGGGTTTCTGTCTTCCCCCCCACTTCCCATATTTGCCCATATTTTCTGGGAATCGACGATTAATTGTGTCTGTGTTTTTTCCCCTCCTGACTCTCATGGTCCGACGGTCTCGAGTCAGGAATTCGGATCGAGTCGACATGTGCGAAGGATCGGACTGCACCAGCACCAAATATCGCAATCTCATCGGATCGGCGGCGGCAGGAGGAAAAACACACCGCGATGCGAGCATCGCCCCGCATCAGATCGGCGAAGTCGGACTGGATCGGGCTGGTCGGACTCGAATCGATCGGACCAAACTAGACCCTGGTGGGAGCTAACACCGTTGGCGCGACCGGAAACAAGGAAACTTACACCGCAGGAACAGTCAGCCTTCCAACTCTCCCTCTATCCTCCTACTTGATCTTCCTCCTCCTTTCCTCGTCATCGGCCTCTCCTCCTTCTCCACCCGCTTCTGCTTCTCCTCCGTCTCCCCCCTGTTCATCCCTCCCTTTCCTTGTTCTCCTCCCTCCCTGGTCTCCCCCCTCCCCGCCGTCCTCCCCCAAGATTCGTGCCGTCCTCAGCGGAGGACGGGGCAATGCGCCCTCAGACACGTGAAGGGTTCGCGGGAGCTCGCGTTCCACCGGCAGGATTGCAGCAGGAAGCTGCGTGCTATGCCGCGACGTGGAGGACGGAATCACTCACCAAACCCTCGCCGCTGAGATTAGTGCACGGCGTAAGCCACCAGAACTCTCTACGCCGTCGCGGGTCGTCTCTGATGTTCCTGGAGCCCGACGCGGGCCTCTAGAGGCCCAAGATCATAGCACGCGGCCACCTGTGTTTCAAAGTGCTGGAGGAAAAACGACAAGAACGCACAATGGAAAACTGTGCCGCTGCCATTTCGCCACGCCGACTGCACATGCCCAACCTATCCCTCAACACATCCCACACAGGTGCCTCTGGGCACGGCATGGGCGTACCCTCGAATCCTGTGCCGAAACCTCTGGCCTCAAAGTATGCGCGCCGACTTCCGGAGTAACCGCAGAGGATCTTGAATTATGCCCCCCCCCTAAGCTCTCGGCGGGGAATAGAAACTCGTCCCCCCTCCTCCTCCTCCTTCCCCTCCCTCCTTCCCCTCCATCCTCCTCCTCCTCCTCCTCCTCCTCCTCCTCCTCCTCCTCCTCCTCCTCCTCCTCCTCCTCCTCCTCCTCTCCTCCCCCTCCCCTCCTCCCCCTCCTTCCCCCTCCTCCTCTCCCTCCCCCCTCCTCTCCTCCTCCTCCTCCTCCTCCTCCTCCTCCTCCTCCTCCTCCTCCTCCTCCTCCTCCTCCTCCTCCTCCTCCTCCTCCTCCTCCTCCTCCTCCTCCTCCTCCTCCTCCCCCTTTGGGAGCACTCCGAGTCGGCTTAGCGGAGCGCCGCTGCGCCCAGCCGACTCAGAACATCTGCGTCGCGGAGTGCTCCGCGTCGGATGAGCGGAACGCCGCTCCGCCAACTTCGCCTCAAACGGTGCGCGCCGAACCGGCGATCCCCAGAGTGCTCCGCGCCTGGTTCGCGGGAGGCCGCTCCGACAGTTGGCCTCAAAGCATGCGCGACGGCATTGCGTGCGTCGCACCTGCATCGCTGAGTCCCCCGAGAAGCTACCCACGATAGCCCAACGAGCCGCCGCGAGGCCTCGCCCCCAGGAGGCCCCGAGGAGGCCCAGAAGAGGCCCCGAGAGGCCCCAAAAACGGCCCCCAAGAGACGTCAAAACTGACTCCAAGAGGCGGCCGAGAGGCCTCCCAAGAGATTCCAACGAACATCCAATAACCCCAGGAAGCATTTAAGAACCCCCCCGGCGATATCGTAGCACCGCATTTTTTATTCGATATTCCGAGGGGCCGAAATAACCGAACGATAGCTTTAGCATCCGGACACAAGAGGGCTCCTGGTGCCAGGTAACGCTTCCAGGGTGCGGAAGGGTTATCGATTTGCCGGAGGGGGGGGGGTCTTAAATGCTTCCTGGGGTTAGGCTTCATACCCACAAACGAGGTACGGTTGCGGTGAGGGCCGACGGCCATTAGATGTACTGGATCATCCACTTTTCTGTCCATGCGAATCCAAGCGAGTCGCGCAAGCCATCAACATGATGCAGGAAAGACAAATCATGATATGTGCGGTCCCATCCCCGTCACGTCGACGCGCTTGTCGCAGCGCTCGCAAAGCCACCGGTTCCCATCGGTGAGAGGCTCCTCGCAGGAGTTCGCATGTAACGCAACAGTATTCACCATCCAACTTCGAAGCATGGCCCGACCACGTCGGAATGCAATTCCTCCACGCAATGGTCTGTATGTGCGAACTGCCTGAGATCCGCAGATTCGGTTGGACTATCCGTTCGCCGCCGCTTCGCTACATCCGACTTGGCCACCGCATGCCACGCCCGATTGACAAACATGCACAGCACCGTTAATCCTTGGGGTAGCGCGCTGGATCTCTGTGTGTGTGTCAACTGTTATCGGGGATGGACAGACCTCCCTTTAGTAAAACGTGGTTTAGTGAAAACGACCTGAGGCCCAAACCTGGCGGGCGCAAGCCTGGAAAATAACGGCCGCGGCGCCCTCTCGAGACCCGAAAACGGACAATTCACTAATCGACGTGTCACTGCTGGGGGTTCTGTCCACCCCCGATGTTAGCACCATCCGGGAGGGCAGTCCAGCAAGCATCAGGCAGAAAGAGATGTGTGAAGGAGGGGAGCGCGTGGCGGAGGCGAGGAGGGAAAAGCACAGCGGAGGAGGAAGGATGTGTGGAACAAAGGGGGCCGAAACGAGGGGTCCACGGGGGGGCGCGCGGGAAGGGCACACCCGCGGGAGTAGATTGTCAGACCGCCGTGCTCGGGATCAAGGGACTGTCATCATCACGCTCCACGAGGCTGCCGAAGTATCCGCACTGCCATCTGGCCCACCGCCACTCCAAAGCAAGTAGGGCCCACCAACCTTCGCTTCTTCCTCCCCCTCCCCCTCCTGCGACTCATGCCTCCGACACTCCTCTCGATTCCCCCCGTCCCTCCTGCTCCTTCTTCACCATCCATGATTACCTTTCCCATCCTCCTCGCGCCCCTCTTCTCCCTTAGAATTCCCATTCTTGCCCCCCCCCCCCCTCCTTCCCCACCAGTCCTTCCATTTTCGTTGTCGTCAACCATGTGAAAAAAGGCGGGCAATCAAAGCAAGACCCCCATGCACAACCAGACCTCCTCTGCCAATACGCCCACAGCGACAAACATCGCGACCTGAATTAAGTCATCACACTAGGGAATTTGGGCCCGGCACGGCAGTGGATAACTCGCGGAAGCGGAAGCGTGAAGATTTGCACATTGATTGATGCAGGCTCGTGATCCTGAAAAGGCAAGGCCGTATGGCCTGAACCCGTCGTTCCAGTCGACGAGTGGGGACTATGAGTGGGGACTGCCGTCAAGATCTGATCACCCTCTGCCAACGGCATTGCCACAAAATCCAGCACTGACGATCCAAATGCCGATCCAAAGCATGTCGGAAGCGCCCCGCTATTGGAGCACACGACATGCAATCGCGAAGGACTTGATTGGATAACCCGCCAGCACAACGTCTGCAATATGTTGGTTTTGTTGAATCGATTCCTGTTCCAACAAGAGCGTTCGTCCACTTGGGGGGCCACATTTGCACTAGGCGCGCCCGCCGTTGTTCCCGGCGGCCGCAGAGAAAAACACTACATCAGTATTTGGGGGGTTCGGGTGCGCGAAATCACAGGACGGCTCCAAAAAGGCGTACGCCTTCCTATCGGACGGCAACCGCACAATCGACGGCCAACGGGCTGCTCTCATTCCAGCACGCATACCCTCGAAGGGGAGCGGCGGGCGCATCGACCGAGCCCCAATTCGTCGACGTCCGTTCGCCGACGGCAAACCCGCCGCCGATCCGGCAGACGCAAGTTCGCGTGAGTCCCAAATTGCTAATGACCCACGTCTTGTATATTTGATTTGCGATATCTGGAGTTTTGTGCTTCCTGGTGCGCGTGGCAAGCCTTTGACATGACCTGATAACTTTTGTCAAGCCATGATAATGGTTCACACCCTATGGCAGGCCTTAAGCAGCGTCGAGGCCGGTCAAGGTTTCACGCGATTGTCAAGGGCTGGACGCTGACCGATTGGTTTGGGCGTACGTGTCCTACGATGGGCAATACAAGGTTCCCCGCACACGTAAAGTTCTGCAGTGTGCACAATCGAATGGTCGCCATGCTGGGGAAAAAAAACCTTAGCGGTGGCCGCGGTGGGCGGGTCACCAGCCGCACCTGCGCGAACCCGTGGCGAACTTTGTATTATGCACGATCGGAAAGTCGGCATGTTGGCCTGGAAACTAGAAAGTGATCCCTTAGCGGTGACGGATTTGATGTTGAACTGGGCATGGTTACTGGAATGAGAATTTACGCATGATCCATACAGAAATCCCCATACGCGAGCGCTTTTGAACAATTCTGTGTTGTCCACAGCGGGAAAGCCGCCATGCTGGCTTGGAACCCCAAGTTGCCCCCTGGCGGTGACCGACAGCACTCGTGTGACCCGCGCGGTGGGCGGGTCACCCGTCGCGCGTGCGCGTGCGTGCTGAGATCTGTAATGTCCACGGTCAGAATATCGCCATGCCGTCCTGGCAACTAAAGTGAACCCTGAGCGGCGACCGGCAGGATTGCGGGTCACCCACGCGGTGGGTGGTTCACCCGCCGCGCGTGCGCGCACGTGGCGAATTCTGCATTGTCCACAATCCGAAAGGTCGCCAATTTTGGCCTGGAAACTCAGAGAAAAATCCTGAGCGGTGACGGACTTGATGCTGAAGTTGACATGGGTTCTGGTGTCAGAACTCCCCATGCGCGCGCGTGAAGAGTTCGGTGTTTTCCACAATGATAAAAACGCCATGCTGGCTTGGGAATGCAAGAGACCTTGAAGCGGAGACCGACCGGAGTTCGGATGACCTGCGCGGTGGGTGGGTCACCCGCCGCGCGCGCGTGGCGAGTTCTGCAATGTACACAGCAGGACGAGTCGCCATGTTGGCTTGTAAACTCAGAAAGAACCCGTTAGCGGCGCTCGATGTGATTTTGAAGCTAGCATGCGTGATGCTTTGACTTTTAAAACATCCCAACCATAGAAACAATCATCCTGCCCCATTGCTGTGACCGACCGCGCGCGGGTGACGCGCGTCACCCGCCAGGTGTGTGGTGCTGTAACAGCCACTGGCCGTGCGCGCGATCCTTGCAACGACAGATCTTCCACCTCCTCCTACTCCCCCCTACGGAAACGAGGACTTAAGGAGTAGGAGGGACAGGAGGTAACCGACGCCGGGGACGACGACAACGACGCCGACGACGCCGACGTCGAGGAGAAACAGGGGGAGGACGGGAAGGGATGGAAGGGGTGGAGGGCGACGGAATGGCCCCAGGCAGGCCCGCGTCGTGGCCCGAGGCTGCGCGCGCACAGGTCACAAATCCACTGCTGTAGTGGATGTATGGGTTTGCTTAGACACTTGGCTTCGCCGTTGGTTAGTTCCTGCACGTGGCTTCGTTTTTGAACTACTACACCTGGCATTTTTTGGAGGTGCTACAGCTGACATCGTTTTTGAATTACTACACGTGGCTTCGTTCTCGACGATTGCAATTGACATCGCACTTGGATTGCTACAGTTGGCCTCCTTTCTGGTTGCTCCATGTTACCCCGCTTTTGACTTACAACACTTGGCCGCGTATCTGGGCCACTACAAATCACCTCGTTTTGAAATACTACACTTGGACACTGTTTTCGCCGTTTCGTTCAAATTCACGCGCTCAAAAGTAAATTGGCTCGCGATTTCGACTGCGGGTTGTCTAGGGCCACCAAGGCTTGGCTAGGGGCATCAGGGCATGCCACGGGCGTGCCATGCGCTGTCCACCAAACAGAATGAGAAACGTGAGAAAAAAAGGAAACGACCATGAAACGCCAAACTCAAAACATCGCAAAGCAAACACACACACACACAGAACGAGCGTCGTGAACCATTCTTGACTCACGCGGGTCTGGGTCTGCTGGATTAGCGGCGGATGTGCCATCGGCGAGCGGACGTCGACGGGAAGGGTATCGGCAAATGCGCCCGCCGCTCTACCAGGGGATGCGCGCTGGAATGCTAGCAGCCCGTTGCTCGTCAACCGTTCGCTTGCACAGGACGCCAGTCGCATGTTTTAGCACACCTTCGATTTCAAGCCACAGACTCCCCAGAATACGACCGCCGTGTTTTTCCCGCGACCGCGGGAAACGGTGGCGAGCACGCCCGGGGCGAGCCCTGGTCAAGTGAAGTAGCAGATGTGGCTGCAGCAACCTGAGCTTGCACTAGACACAAAATTCTTCCCAAGTTATATTCACGACTGCGGGCTGCTCACAAAGACAGCGCCCAGCTCTATCCAGCCCGCGTCTCTGCATTAACCAGCCCATCACTTATGCCCCCTGGGAGACATGTAACCATTCGACGTGGCAGAGTGCGACGGACCTCCCAAGGGCCAATCCCTCAACTGCTTACGTTCCGCGACGAACTGCCTGACCTGCTCGACTTGTTGGGCTCTGTTTTGCTATAGCGGGAAATACACAATAACGAGGCCACTCTAGATCAAGCTGGCCGACCTACGGCCTGGGGATGATTCTCGCTGAGTCGCGATGATGTCACTCGCCGCAGCGCCCCCCCGATGACGGCGGCCACTTGCCTGGCCCCGTGCGCGGGACGCCCTACGGTATGCGAGGCCCCTCGGCGCTCGCGGGCCCGTGGCCCGAGCGCGCGCCGCAGCTGACGCCGCGGGCAGCTGGCTGCAGTGCGTGAGGCGCGGATGCCAGCGAGTGCGCACATCCTTCACCTCCTCCGCCCTCATCAGGTGCCTCGTGAAGCACTTCTGCTTCATCGTTTCGCTGTCCTGCCCAAGGCTAGTGTTGATTGCGTGGCCCCCGTGGCCCCGAGCTCTGCACCATCGACGCTGGTTGAAGCAGGTTGCCCTGCTTCTGCGAATCTGGGTGAGTGTCTTCTATCGCCGAGGCCATCTGGCACGATGTCGGAGGTATGCATTCCTTTTCGGAACATGTTGACGTCCCCTTTGCACGGCTGGCTGCCCATCGTCGGGAGCGGCCAAGAGGGGGGTGTCCATGAGGGGGGGATGCAAATCATGACCGGCGCCATGTGCGCGGCTCAGCGGGGGGGCCAGGGACGTAATGAAATAAGAAGAGGCGCCATGAAATCTGGGGAACTATCATGGTCCCCGCCATGATATCCACCCCCCCCTAAACATCACCCCCCTCTTTTCCGCTCCCGATGCCTATCGCCGACATAGACCGGATCATCCGGGTTTCCCGCGCCCTTCTGGCGTTGTTCCGGCGTGCGGCTTTCAACGTGGGGCCCATGAACGCCTACAGTCGGGGCGCTGACCTAAGGAACCCTAACTAAATAAGGAACGAGGCCCCTTTTTCCCGTAAGTTCAACCTCGATTTCCCATGGGAAACCTCAGGAAAACCTGAGGCAAACTTTCAAAAACAATCAAGGAGCACCGAGCCCCTCCCCAACGAAAAGAGTTCCTTCTTCAGGGCCCCGACTGTATCGCCGACATAAACCGGATCATCCGGGTGTCTCGCGCCCTGCTGGAGTTGTGACGGCTTGCGGCTGTCAGCGTGGCGCCCATGAACGCCTACAGTCGGCGCGTTGACCTAAGGAACCCTGAATAAGGAACGAGGCCCCTTTTGTCCATAATTGAACTTCGATTTCCCATCGAAACGTAAGGAAAACCGAAGGCAACCTGTGAAACAGCTAAGGAACACTGAGCCCCTCCCAAACGAACAGGGTTCCTTCTTCAGCGCCCCGACTGTACGAGGAGTCTGGGGCCGCGGACGTCACGTCCACTCTTACCTTGCATGGGCACGCTCCGCGTCGAGAGGCGGACCCTGCGCACAGTCGAGTGGGCCACCGGCCAGATCGAACCGCTCTCAGGTCCCGAAAGGCCTCTGGGGCAGTCTGCGCACGCCCGCGGCCCTGCGCCCGCGATGCGGAGATCACAGTGAGCGCATGGAACGGCTGTGTATGTACATAATTTCGCCGTTCAATCCACATTTCGCTGAGGGGCTCAGAGAGGATGTCCACATCCTTCCATCGATTCTCCTGGATGCAAGCAGACGCTGATCTGGCTTCTCTTTGACCGCCTGGGCACGTTGCTCATCTGGGCTGTCTTGGGATGTGCCTGTGCCTGGCCAGGAGTCGCCAGAACGAGGGGGCACCTTGCTTTCGAGTTTCGAGGCCCCGTTCTCAGTTCTCATCGGGGGGATTGCGTACTACCCGATCGTGGGATCACGCTCTGTGGCGTGACAGTGAGGCGCTCGTGTGATTCGGAGTGAAGAGTTCATGAAGCGATCCTCAACGCTCCCAAATCAAAATATTAATCCCAAAACAACCAAATTACTATTCCCATCCATGGGGAGCTCCACAGCAAACGCACGTCCCTGGAGAGCCCCGAACGGCAGCTCAATTCTTCGAACATGTGCCTGGGCCCATCGATTTAGCCGGATGAAAGAACACCCCGCCGCTGTGTTGGCGAATCCCCCCTGGACCCCAGCTTGCATGCACAAGAACACGGTCGGTCTGCTTCGCGAAGCGGCAGTCCTCGCTCGCGATATCCCTGATCTGTGATATTGGCAGGCCGACTGGTCATCCATCAAATCAGTTAGGCGGCCCCAGTTGGCGTGCAACGGGCTGACCTGAAGAGCGGAAAAGATTCGAATCACCATCAGGGCTGGCCCAAAGGCCCCTTGCGAAAATGGAACGGACCATACGGGTGAACTCATTGGCCTGATGCGCCGCGCTCGTCTGCCGAACCCCAACGTCGGCAGAAGATCCTCCAGACGCGGTGTGGGTTCAACACAGAAGCGCCCTATCCCTCCGCCCTCATCCCTCCTCCTCTCCTTCCTCCTCCTCCACCTCCTCCTCCTCCTCCTCCTGCTCCTCCTCCTGCTCCTCTTTCTCCTCCCCTTTTCCCCCCTCCCTACCTCCATCCCTCCCCCCCCCTTCCCCACCCTCTCTCCCACCCTGCCTGCCCTCCTCCCCCCAAGGCCGCACCAGCCCCCCCGCGGCCAGTCCTCCATGGAAAACGCCTCCAGGGACTCGCTGAGCATGGACTTGCCTCGGGCGCAGCGCGCGGGGCGCCCGCGAGCGTGCATGCCTTCCGAGAGGCCCCGGGGGACGATCGCGGCAGGCGGGGGCGGAAGGTTGGGCAAGAAGACGAGAAGGGCAATACCCAACTCTTCTCTCTCGTCCTCCCTCCTCCATCCTCTGCCTGTTCCTCCACCTCCTCCTCCTCCTCCAGCTCCTCTCCCTCCTCCTCTTGCCCCTCCTCCTCCTCCTCCTCCTCCTCCTCCTCCTCCTGCTCTTCCTCATCCTCCTCCTCCTCCTCCTCCTCTCCCCCTCGTTTTTCATTCATCCTCCTCCTCCTGCTCCTCCGCCTCCTCCTCCTCCTCCCTCCCCCTCCCTTCTCGTCCTCCCTCCTCCGCCAGCTGCCGCCGCCGATCCTCATACTCCCCTTCTTCCCTTCCTCCTTATGCTCTTTTGCTCCTATCCTTTCCACTGCACGCTCCACAATCCGCCCCCTTCTCACGTCTTCCCCCTCCCACCTTCCTTACTCGCCCTCCGCCAGAGGACAGAAGGAGGAGAACGACGCCCTACTAGGAGACACTGCTGTTGTTGGTCGAAACGCGTTCCATTCGACGTTCTCTCCCGACGCCTATTGCGAAATCACGTGCTGCAATCTCCTGGTCTGCGGGGCCCCAGTCCTCCTCTCCCCCTGCTGCTTCGGCTGCTGCTGATCCTTGCCCTGCTCTCCCATCTCATGCCGCTGTCCCTCTCTCTCTCTCTACCTCTCTCTCTATCTCTCTCTCCCTCTCTCTCTCTCTCCCTCTCTCTCTCTCTCTCTCTCCCACTCTCTCTCTCCCTCTCTCTCTCTCTCTCTTTCTCTCACTCTCTCTCTCTCTCTCTCGCACGCACTGGCGCAGCATCCACAGGGCGCGCCCCGCGCCCACCGCGGCCGACCGCGAACAGGGCTGGGGAGGGCCCGCCATCTTGCGTGTGCGGGGGGGGGGGAGGGAAGGGGGGGAGAGAAGGGCCGCCAAGACCCCTGCAACTCCTCCTGAAGCCTCATGGGGAGATTGAAACATTGTGGAGCGGCTGGGCCACTCTCAACCGCAGGAGCGGCACACACTGTAGGCGTTGTGCCTTGTCTGTGCTGCTGCACACACTGGCGATGGTGATGCTTGCAGCGACGATGAAGTGAACGTTGCATCTTGTGTGTAGCGATGCACTGGGATACCATTGCCCGCAATGCTGAAATGGGGCGTGACCTTCTCTGGCTTCAGGCAGGTCGGTCTCGCCTTGTTTTTTTAATGGCGCCACCTGGTTGGATGGTTCGACCGGTGGTCCTCGTAGCCCTGCCTGTGATTGTGGCAGCTCAGCCTGTGGCCCTCTTCGCTCTGCTCGTGGTTTCCTGCGGGTGATGCCACGGGGGACGTTGTCCTCCGCGCTGTCGGCCCAGTGGGCTTGCAAGTGTATGGGCACCGAGTTCCAACACAATGCACGTGTGGTACTCTCGACCGTGCTTGCCCTCCACCGTGTCCCCGTCCGCGTAGCAGGCACCATTCGCCCTCGTGAAGAGGGCCCTCAAGGCGAAGGGCGAGGAGGATGAAAGGACGGACTGGGGAGGGAAACGAGAAGTGCTCAGCATGGCTTCGAAAACTCCAGGCGGCTTCAAATCAGTCGGCTTCTCCTTGCAACTGCCGATTCGAAGAAGCGAAGGGCAGGCCTGAGATTGACCGTAGCTCAGTGCGCTGACGTGCCAGAAATCTGCGAACCTGTCAGTGCACGGCCCTGAGACCCATTCACTCTGTAAGCTGTTGCCCCTCTCCATCTGTTCCCCCACAGGGCACGAGGGGTCAATGATGAAATACACACAGCATGGTTCGGGTAAACGTGACTATGGTTTGCACCAGGGGGAACGATAGGCCCATCTGCCCGTCGCCGTCGTCAACGCTCTCCGCACCGACGCCGCCCTCGCTGTCTCTCTCTCTCTCTCTCTTGTCCGAACGCCCTGCTCCGACCACCTTCCTCCCCCTCTGGGCCGCAAAAGAACGCTGTCGTACCATGCGCCCCCTTCACAGGCGCACACGTCTGCCCAGAGGAAATATAACAAAGAATGTGGCATGTCATCCCAGCGGCATGCAGACCACGCCCTCCACAGTGCTGACACTACTTCTTTGTTCAGCGTTCGCGTCGCTCCCGCGGAGGCGACGAACTCCTACTACAAATATGTTTGAGCTGCCTGAGTCCAACCGATCCTGCTGTGCGAGGCCTTCCTTCAATTCCCCTCCGTTTGGCATGAATGATGCTGGTCCTGAGGTTGAGACGGGTCACGGAGACCGTGGACAGCCCTGGAGTCCGAAAGCGGCGAAACGAGCCCATGCCAGGTTTCCCTCGGGACCCGTCTCCTTCATGGCAGCCCTGTCCTCTTCCCCGAGGGAAGCGATGAGGGGAGGGGGCTGGCTCTGGGGGGGGGACATTGACTTTTGGTTGACCCAACGAAGAGTCGAGCTGAAAGGGTGTGTTGCAATAGATGTGGGGCAATAGTTTTGCAAACATATTGCGCCAGATCACGGTATTGCAGCTAGTGTTTTGCGCGCGAAAATCCGGCAACACATGTACGCCCCAGAATGTATTGCACACCCCAACTCTATTGCAACCCCACAGATTTATTGCACCGAATCTATTGCACCACCCCCTTTCAGCTGGACCCCTTTTGGGTCAATCAGATGACTTGGCATCGGCAACAGTCTCTCGTCAGCGACGCCGCTCTGCCCCGTGCAGGTTTGGGCACCCAGGCCCCGACGCGCGATGATGGGAGATGCGGTGTCGATGCTTCCCCCCCGAGCCAGTCCACTCCTATCGGCGCCCAGGAGTACTCCTCCTGCCCGCCTGGCTTCACGGGCACGCTGAGGTGGAGGAATGGGTCGAACGTCTTTGAGACGAAGCCGCACTCCCGGCACGCCAGCGCGGACCGGAGCTGGCCCTGGCCCAAGGGAAGGGGGCGGGGAAGGTGCCGACTTCCACTGCGCCGAGGCACGGCTGGTCCCCAACACGGCTTGCGCTGGGGGCTGTCGTCTAGATGTCCGCCCAGGGGGGAAACCGAGATGTACCGACACCGCTACTCCCCGGACCTCTCCCGGGTGGCGTGCTGACCAGCACTGCGAGGCGCATCCGACGGTGGAGGCGCGGCCGCCCGAGGAGGCCCCAGAAGAGGGGCAAACGAGGGAAGGGTAGCGCCAGGAGTGGCTACCTGTCCCTCCTCTGAAACTGCTTGGTTGGGTGGCTGGGCGGGCCTGGGTTCTGCCACGCGTCTGGCCGTGGGCGCCGCGCGGGTGAGGCGAGGCTCCCCCAGGCGTGGTGGGCCGGGCGCCCGCAGCGGTGCCCAGCCGTGGGGCGCCTGGTGGGCGCCCCCGTGCACTGGCTGGCTGTCGGGGCGTCGCCGAGGCACCGCCCGAGGGACCGCCCGTGGGCACCCCGTGCGCTGGCTGGGATGGGTCGGGGGAGTTCGCCCGGTGCCCGCCCCGTGGGTACCTCGAGGGTGCCCCGTGCGCTGGCCGAGCGAGCTCGCGCCGCCCTCCCCCCCCCCTCCCCCGTCCTGCTTGCACGCACGTCCGCGCGCGCGCGCTCGAGCGCATCGCCGCGCCGGCGCCAGCTGCGAGGCACTCCGAGGACACGCCCTCCTCAGCGACGGGCATCGGTGTGCGCAGTACTCTTCGGACCGAGTGCTGGGTCGCGCAGGAAGCTGCCGGGCGGGTTGCAGAATCCGCGGTCCAGCCAGCGGGCGCCTCGGGGACTTGCAACGCAGATGTTCCATGGCTTACAGCACGTGGTCCACATCATACAAGACGCCATGGCTCTGACCACACAGCCTGCAACACATGGCCTGCACTACATAGGTTGTACCACATAGCCTCAACCGCATCGGTTGCGCAACCTAGCTCACACCACATAGTTCACATATGTGTAATACGATATTGCTTACATAACATGTGTTGTGCCACATTAATTGCACCACATTGCTTAAGACAAATAACGTACACAGCGTTGCTTAGACCGCACAACTTGCACCACATGGCTTAGACCTCAGAACTTACGACACACATATTGCACCACACAGCTTACACGCCTACCTTAAAATTAGGGGCGGCTTGGGGTCCACACCCGTTACATTTGAGAGATGTGTCCTTGCTCCTCGTCATCCCCTCCAGTTGACGGGGATCCCCATCTTGCACGGGGCCCTCAGCTTCAACCCTCAAACAGTCCACGCATCGTCGTGCAAACGACTCGGCATGGACGTCATCTGAAAAATCTTGACTCAACGAGGTGCGATATTTCCTTCTCCAACACGTGATTGGTTCTCCTCCTCTTCCTCCTCCCCCTCTCGAGTCGATGAAGTTAGTCAGAGTATGTCGTCCTCTTCCCCTTCTCCCAGAGCGTGTGCGTGCATTTCCTTTCGCTTGCTGCTGCCAATGCCGTTCAAGCTCGGGCGAGTCAGGGGCCCACACGGTGCTTACAGCCACAGACTCGGACCGTCTCGCCGAACAACATCCAGGAAAGAACAACCGTGCTAGACACCCCATGTTCTCCGCTAACTGTACCCTCCTCCTCCTCCTCCTCCTCCTCCTCCGCCTCCTCCCACTCCCCCTCCCCCTCCTACCACTCCCCCTCCCTAGTTGTTAGGACGGTCAAGGTGCCCTGCGATTGGCTTAGGATGCGTTCCAAGATCTCCAGAATACCTGGCGGCGCAAGTCACGGGAGACGGCGCGGGAAAGCACAAACCTGAAACTGTGAAACGCATCAGTATCCTGATTCCTTGCTCCTCTGACTCCATCCTCACGCCTCTCTTGAGGAGGAGGAGGAGGCGGAGGAGGAGGAGGACCAGTGTAAACCCAAGAGTCATCAACGATCTTGGCAAACACCCTCCCTCCGAACTTCCTCATCATAGGCCCCTGCCAGGGTTCATTTCCACTGAAGGAGCTGCCTCGTTGGAACACACTCGTTGGAAGACCCTGAAGCATGCCAACACGCCATCCTGAAGACATCAACGCCACGAGTCAACATGACCGTTGCCTCTTGGCCATCCTGAATCGTGCCAGAAGGCCATTCCTGGGACTTCAACACCGCGAATCAACTAATTGCAACACCCTCATCCTGAATCTTACAAAAAACAATCTGGTACGTCGACCATGGGAACCCGTGAAACTCTTGCAATTTGCTATAAGGAATGTCCGCAGCGCTAAGGCGAGAGCCACGTTTGTGAAGCTCTTGCCCATGCTTAATCTTCAGGGTCATAAGGTGTGAGAAGTCTCAGGCGAAACGCCCGGCCAGCCCTTTCGACCTGCCTCGGGGTGCGACAGGGAGAAGTTATCCATAAGGAGATGGATTGGAGGAGGAGGATGCGGATGAGGAGGAAGAGTGGGATGAGGAGTTCTCCCCTCCTCCCTGCTCCCCCTCGCTCCCCACCTTTGGATGTGGCGACAGGCAGGCGGGACGAAGGGAGGGAGAGAGGTGGAGAGGAGGAGCAGGAAGAGGGAGGAAAGGGAGACGACGAACGCGAATGACGAAGAGGGGGGGGTGGGGTAGGGGGGGGATTTGGAATGATCCTGCAAGACGATGCGGAGAAGGGGCAGGGGTAGCAAGTGATATGATGAGGAGCAGGTGGGGACGGAGGAACTGTGGCAGCGAGAAGGTCTGTGAGTCAAGCTCTAGGTCTGTCCGTGGACGCTCCCAGGGCTCATCAGCGGGCAGCCCGCCCTGTCAGCCTCGCTCTGCCAGTCACTTATAGTTTGGGTGCAACGGCGCACACCGTTCAGAGCAGCCCCTCCCCCATCCCTATCCATCCCTCGTGCTTCTTCCCCGTCGGCCGCACCCCACTTCCTTGCCGTCGCTCGGACGTCCATTTCCCGTGCATTGTTCGGTTTCGTGCGTGCTTGTTTTCGCTCGATGATCCAAAATGCTCCTCAAGGGTCCTCGCCGAGAAAAAAAATACACATCCGAGAGATGCCAGGGTATGCCTTTCAACGCGGCTAGAATACAGCACCAACAACACTATGCCACGTCCCGCCTCCCGCGCTCGTCTTCCTGCCGCCCTATGCCCTCCCCTCGCCCCCCCCACAACGCCTCGAACAGAAACCACTATGATTCCGACTCTCTCCTGTCTCCCCGGACTCGCCGCATCTCCCGCGCGTTACCTCGTTGCTGTTCGCATCGGGTTTCAGCACACTGTTTGTCCGCATCGCTTTCTCTGATTGGTCCAATTTCGTTGTCTGTTGGGCGTTGCTCCTGCTGCCTCGTTGGCCCTGCTTCAACCTCAACGCTTCGCCCCCGTCGTCCTCCCGCTCTCGAGAGCGCGAATAACTTCGCGCCCTCGAGGGCGCCCTTGCTTGATTCGATCGGGAAGACCGTCGCGCATATCAGAAGGCTGCTCCCGCTGGAGCGTTGGCCTCACTTAGGGATCGGCGAGCCGCTGCCGTGGTCAAAGATGGAGCCCTCGGCCCCGCGCGGGCCACGTATCTCCTGCCGGGAATAGACAGAGCGGGCACCACCAGGACATGTGCAGTCCCACCGTGGAACATGCCTGCTGAGAGCACTGCCACTGCCGGACAGACACGACCGTCATGGCACGAAACGGCCCAACCAAACTGCTACACATGACCGCGGCAGCCGGGGACCAGCACGACACCCAGAGAGTCTGCATCGACTCAGGTGCCTGTCCGCGCGGGCCACTATCCAGACCCGACTCCTTCCTCAACGTTCTCGTCCCCCTCCTCTCCCCTGATCCGCTTCTCCCCCTGGTCTTTCTGCTCTTGCGGCTCCTCCTGCTCCAACTCCTGCTGCTGTTCCTCCTCCTGCTGCTTCTGCTGCTGCTGCTGCTCCTCCCCCTCCTCCTCATCCCTCTCTCCGCCTCCTCCTCCGCATCCTCCACGTCTGTCTCTTCCTCCTCCTCCACGTCCTCCTCCGCACCCTCCTCCTCCTCCTCCTCCTCCTCATCCTCCTCCTCGTTCTCCACCTCCTCCTGCGCGTCCTCCTCCTCCTCCTCCTCCGTCTCCTCCTCCCCCTCCTCTTTCCTTTATCTGCTTCCTCCTCCTCTTCCTCTTCTCCCAATGCATACAGCTCCCTTTTCTCATTGCGCAGAACACCATGGGGTCATCTGGGCGGTTTCAGGGCTGCTATGACATCCGTTGGCGGATGGAAGAGAAACAGCGTGATGGGAAGTGAAGGATGGGACCGATGGACATATTAGATATGGCGCGAGCGCACCTCTTGCCTCCGTCTTCTCTCACCCCTTCGCCATCCCGCCATCCTCCCCCTCATTGCTCCTCCTCCTCCTCCTCCTCTTCCTGTGGGTCTGCTGCTGCTACTGCCCCTGCTCATGCCCCCTCCCTCCGACATCTTTCCCCCGTCTGCTTCTCGTCACTATCGCTCCTCCTCCGCGTGCTCCCTGCGTCCGCCTCCCTGCCTTCGCCTCCCCCCCCCCCATTCCACCTCCCCACCCCCCCTCCTCCGGCACCTGCATCATATCTGCGTCTTTTCCTTATGAGCAACTGCTCCCTGTCGGACCCCGAAACCCATCGGCAGGGCGGGCCCGGCGTGTTGCCTGAGACTGTCTTGCCTTTTTTAAAACATCAAGCTGAGCAACTGGCAGCAGCTTCATCGATGGAGGGCCACCTCAGCGCCGCACACAGTCGTGCAAACAAAATTAAGGCGTTGCACGGATTGAGGGCGGGTCGTTTTCAAAGTGTGGCTATTGCGTTCGCGCCGCGCAAATTTGTTTAAACAGATTCAAGAGCTTCACGGATTGAGGGCGTCTCGTCTTCAAAATGTGGCTCTAGCCTTAGTGCCGCGCACATTCGTTCCCCAACCAGTGCTTGCACGAAAGGGGTCGTTGAAAAAATTGGCGAACATTTCCCGCCGATTTTGGTAGCAAGCTGGGTTCCCGGGTTCCCGGTTATTCGTTCCGGGCCGATTCCGGTGGGTTCTGGGTTCCCGGGCTCCCGGGTTCCTGGTTGGGTGGTGGAAATTTCCAACAGTTGGAAGAGTTTCACGGATTGAGGGCGGTTCAGGATGTGGCTCTCGCTTTAGCGCCTCGCACAGTCGTCCCAACACATTGCAAGAGCTCCACGGATCGAGGGCGGTTCGTTCTCAGAGCGTGGCTCTCGTCTTAGCGCCGCGCACATTCGCTTAAACAACTTGCAAGGTCTTAGCGGACTGAGGGCCGTTCGTTTTCAGAATGTGGCTCTCGCCTTCAGCGCCGCGCACATTCGTTTTTAAATGTTGCACCAGTTCAAGGGGTTCTCATGGTTAGCGTACCAGAAATCGCGTTTTGGAGCGATCCGCGGGTTGTCTGGGCGCAGCAGTTGCTCTGATTCGCGGTGCTGAATGCCATACACGGTTCAGGATCGTCAAGACGTAACGGTCAGGTTGCCTCGTGGCGTTGATGTCCCGAGAATGTTTTCTTGGCACGCTTCAGGAGGTTTACGGCTCATTAGGGGCCTGTGGAGAAGGAACTTGGAGGAAGTGTGCATTGCAACATTGAGGATGAGCCTTGGGTTTAACCTGTTCTTCCTCCTCCTCCTCCTCCTCCCCCTCCTCCTCCTCCCTCTCCTCCTCTTACTCCTCCCGCTGCGACGCGCGAGAGCAGACGTCAGCCACAAGAGCGCGCGCGAGGGGCCTGGAAGATGTCCACGATGGGGCTCTGCATCTCCTGCCGCGCGTCGCCGCCCCGCCCTCCTCCCCCTTTCACGAGCGGCGAACGCATCCGTACAGTCGGGGCCCTGAAGAGGGAACCCTTTTCGTTGGGGAGGGGCTCCGCGTTCCTGAAGTGTTTCACAGCTTGCCTCAGGCTTCCCTTACGTTTTCGACGGGAAATCGAAGGTTAACTTATGGGAAAAAAGGGCCTCGTTCCTTATTCAGGGTTCCTTAGGTCAACGCCCCGACTGTATGCACACCTGGACGGTCTGGACTCCGGAGGCGCGATCCCACGGACACGCGGTCGCATGGAAGAACCTGGCGAACGAGAACAAATAGGTGGCGACCCCCGGGCTCTACCCCCACCAACCACGGGCTCTCCTGAATCAGTGGGAATCGGGGGTTAGGGCTCGGATTTCGCCACGTGCTCGACGAATTTAGAATCCTGCAATGAAAACTTATAGGAAAGGCGGCTGGTAAAGACGCAAGACCCTGGAAGGCCGAAGTTAGGATTATTGGGCGGCGGGCGACCAAACCCCAGAGGTACCTTGAGATCGGCTGCGCGCAAGAGTGACCCTGGGTAAGAGTGACCTTTGGTGCGCGGCTCTTGGGGGCAGCGGGGGACCAAACACAAGGCGAAGTGTCACTCTTACGTAGAGGCCTCCTAGATGGGGTCGGAGTAGATGCAGACGAAAGATCGCGCCGTATCGGCGATACATCGGCGATTCATCGGCGATGCATCGGCGATGCATCGGCGATGCACTGGCGATGCATCGTCGACGTCGGCGATGCATTGGCGACGTCGACCTGAAGCAAATCAGGCCCTACATCGAGCCGCATCGGCGATGCATCGGCGATGCGGCGCGATCCTCCGACCCCGTCTACTCCGACCCCATCTAGGAGGCCTAGATTACGTGTAGTCGATGAGAACTGAAATAGCAAATGGACGGGCCTGGCCGGGCCGCAGAAGCAACGACACAAGGGTACCCGAGAAAAGGCGCGCGTCCTCACTATGCGCGTTGGCTGCACCCCTGCCGGCCATCGATCGGGGGCGGCCTAGTGGGGGGCGCCCAAGAGGGGGGGCGCAAATCGTGGCCGCCGGCAGAGGGGGTCCAGGGACGCATTGAAATCAGAAGAGGCACCCTGAAGACAGGGGAGAGATCATGGCCCCCGCCACGAGATCCACCCTCCCCTAGTCTTATGATGCTCCAACCTACTTCAGCTTTAATCACCAGGAAGAATTTCGAGCGCCCAAAAAAGTACCGAAACTCAAGGGTTTTCACGTGTCGGGCCCTGGGAGACACTCGCCCGACACTGTTTCGACACTGTTTAGACACTTTTCGAGGTGCTCGGAATTATTTCTGGGTAGGATTGGAACAACATAACCCTAGTCGTCACCCCCCTCTTGGCCGCCCCCGAGCCCTGCGAGGTCCGCCGGGGGAAGCGGCAAAGGACGGGCCGGGCCGCGGAGGCAGGGGCACGAGGAGGGTACCCTATAGAAAGGGCGCGCGTCCTGGCGATGCACGTTGGCTGCAGCCCCGCCGCCCATCGATGTGCCTGCATCGTTGATCGGCGAGGGCTTAGTGGGGGCCCTGGAAACGACAAGGCCGTCTTTTTACCGGTTCCGTTTTGCCGTTTTTTGCTGCCGGCTCCGACGCCGTTTTGTTGCCGGCTCCGTCGCCGTTCTTTTACGGGTTCCCGCTCCGGTTCGGATCCTGGAGCCGTCTTCGTTGCCAATTCCGGTCGCCGTTTTTGTTTTGCCGTTTCCATTTGCAAGAGACACTTTTTCGGAAACGGTGAAATACACGGCCCTGCCGTTTCTTGGGCCCACTGAGCCGCCGCCCACCGATGTACCTGCAGCGTGGATCGGCGAGGGTGCAGTGGAGGCCAGTCCACAGGAGACCTTCCAGAAGACGCCCAACCCTGAGATCCCCGTGCGTCCATCGGCGTGGGAGCGTCGCGCCTGCCATCGCGAAACCGTCCAAACCCAATCGATTCTCGGCGTGGCAGCGTCGCGCCTGCCATCGCAAAGCCGTCCAAACCCAAGAAGCCCAGGGCCCCCTGGAGGCAAGCAGGGTGCTTCTTGGCATGGGTCTCCACTGTGGGAAAGGCGCGCGTCCTTCCTAATTAGGCGCGCTGGCTGTACTCCGCCGCCCATCGAGCCACCTGCATCGTTGATCGGCGAGGGTGCAGTCAACCGCTATCAGAAGTATGCGCGCTAAGGATGCCAGGGCCTCGGAGGCCCATGTGTTGACGTTTTCCGAGCGAGGCTGGCCAGCGAAGGTCGCTGATATCAGGGGCCGACGGGGAGAGGATGCAGGGATACCCCCCTGGGAAGGCTGCCCATCCTCCTTATGCGGGTTGACTGTATAGAGGGCTCCTAGATGGGGTCGGAGTAGGTGGGGTCGGAGGACCGCGCTGCATCGCCGATACATCAGCGATACATCGGCGATGCATCGGCGATGCATCGGCGATGCACCGGCGATGAGGCGTCGACGTGGGCGATGCATCGGCGACGTCGACGTGAAGGAAATCGGGCTCCACATCCAGCTGCATCGGCGATGCATCGGCGATGCGGCGCGATCCTCCGACCCCATCTACTCCGACCCCATCTAGGAGGCCTAGACTGCAGGGTACGGATCCCGCCGCCGAAAAAAAGAGTGGAAGGCCCCCGCCCAGCGTATCGCCTGCAGGTGCAGCGCCCAGGCCCAGCGTGGCCGGCGGCACGTGCGCGGCCCAAGGGGGGGCGGGGGACGCATTGAGATGAGACGAGGCGCCATGAACTCTGTGGAGGCATCGTGGCCCCCGCCAGGATGTCCACCCTCCCCCTGGTCACCCCCCCCTCTTCGCCGCCCCCTGATCGAGCTACCTGCATGGCTGATCGGCGAGGGTAGCCCCCCAGCGCGCCGGAATTACTCTCTAGCTTCGCCGCTTCGCTCTTAGGGAAGCTCTACGAGTCAGTCCGCGCGCGCGAGGGTGCGGTTTCACGGAGGAGGACGTGGAGGAGAAGAAGGAGATGGAGGTGGAGAGGGCTGAGGAAAACGAGGAGGAGTAGGGTGCGGATCCCGCCGCCGCACAAAAGAGGGGCAGCGCCCCCGCCCAGTGCAGCTCCTGCAGGTGCAGCGCCCAGGCCCAGGCCGCCTCGGCGCGCGCGGGCGAAGCGGCGGCGGCGGCGGCGGGTCTGCCAGGAGGAGGGCGAGGCCGCCCTGCTCTCCGGAGAGGGCGAGCGAGCCTCCTCGCGTTCGGTGGCGGCTCATGTTGGCGGCGATAGCGAGGGGGGGAATGAGAAGGAGGAGGCCTTCTCAGAAGACTTGGAAGTCCCCTGGGATACAAAAAACGTATCCGAAGGCGCGAGGGCTTCTCAGAAGTCCCGCCGGCTTCTGAGAAGGCCTTCTCCTTCTCATCCCCCCCTCGCTCGCCGCCGACCATGGAGGCCGCCCATACCATCTTGTCGGCTCTTGCGCATCGACGCTTATCGACGCTGGCTCGACACTAAGTCGACGCTAAGTCGACGCCGAGCGATCCTAAATATAGACGCTAGTCGACGCTGAATTGGCACTTTCTCATCGACTCCCAGACGCTAGCGCATTCGAATGCGCTCGAACGACGGAACCGCAGCAGAAAGCATAAGAGGCACCCATGATGTGCTGCCGAGCGAGCGAGCGAGCGCCGACGCCCTTCAGTGCGCAGGAGAAGAGAACCGCCGTTCTAAAAGGGGCCCAAGGACACACACACACACACACACAAACACGCGCAGATCCCAAGATCCCCCCATTCTCCCATACTCTCTGGGTCTTCGTCGTCCCCCCCCACTTCCCATGTTTTCCCATACTTTCCTGGGAGCCTGCGTGGCCCCCGGCGCTGTCCGATTTGGGCCTGACTTGGGCCGGATTTGGACCAGATTTGGACCACGTTTGGAGTGGATTCGTGGGGGCTGGAAGAACGAGGAGGAAGGGGGGGAACAGGTGGGGAGAGGAGGAGCAGGAGGATGGGCCGAATACGAACGATCCCTACGCGGTCCAAAGGCAGGAAAAGCTAATGTCATTGTCGCCGCCCAAGGCTCCCATGGACAGACATCGAGACTGTGTCTTCCCCTCCCGAGTTCTGTGCTGCTCCCGTTTGGGGCGGAACGGGAAGAGGGAGGAGGAGGCGGAGGAGATTGAGGAGGAGAAGGAGGAGGAGGAGGAGGAGCAGAGCGGGTCGCCTAAGCCCTCCGGAGGCTCACGTCGCGATGATGTCGGGGTCGATTCGAGGAGGAGGAGGAGGAGGAGGAAGAGGAGGAGGAAGAGGAGGAGGAGGAGGAGGAGGAGGAGGAGGAGGAGGAGGACGACCGACACCGCCCCTCGACTTCGAACGATCCTGGACTCTCGGCCCCACCTTCGGGCCTCGCGTCGCGGATCCCCAGGCGCAGGCTCGCGTCGAAATGACGTCGGGGCCGTTGCCTGACACCGCCCGCGAAGTCGCCCGACCCTGGGCGATCGTGGCCTACGTCTTCGCAGATCCAGGCGGAAACCGTATCAATGAGACGCCGCCGCCGCGAGTCGCCCGACCCTGGGCGATCGTGGCCTACGTCTTCGCAGATCCAGGCGGAAACCGTATCAATGAGACGCCGCCGTGGAGGAGGAGGAGGAGGAGGAGGAGGACAAGGGGAGGAGGAGGAGGAGGAGGAGTAGGGGAGGGGGGGGGAGGAGCAATGAGGGAGGAGGGGAGGGGGGGGAGGAGGGGCAGAGGGGGAGGAGAGGGGAGGAGGAGGAGGAGGAGGATGAGGAGGATGATGAAGGAGAGGAGGAGTAGTATGATGAAGGAGGAGGGGGGAGGGGGGGAGGAGGAGGAGGGGAGGAAGAGGATGAGGAGGGACGAGGAGGGGAAGGAGGAGAGGAAGGAGGAGGAGGAGGATGAGAGGATGAGGAGAGGAGGAGATAGGAGGAGGAGGAGGAGGAGGAGGAGGAGGGGAGGGGAGGAGGGAGGGGGAGGAGGAGGAGGAGGATGGGGGGGGGGGGGGGGGGAGGAGGAGGAGGAGGAGGAGGAGGAGGAGGAGAGGAGGAGGAGGAGGAGGAGGAGGGACGATTAGGACGAGGAGGGGAGGAGAAGGAGCAGGAGGAGGAGAGGAGGAGGAGGAGGAGGAGGAGGGGAGGAGGGAGAAGAGGAGTCAGGAAGGGGAGGCGGGGAGGGGAGGGGGGGGGAGAGGGGGATGAGAGGGATGAGAGAGGGAGGAGGAGGAGGAAGAGGAGGAAGAGGAGGAGGGGAGGAGGAGGCGGAGGAGGAGGGAGGGAGGATGAGGAGGAGGAGGAGGAGGAGGAGTAGGGGGAGGGGGAGGAGGAGAGGAGGAGGATGAGGGGAGAGGAGGAGGAGGAGGACTAGGAGGGGGAGAGGAGGAGGAGGAGGAAGGAGGAGGGGGGAGGAGGGGAGGGAGGAGGATGAGGAGGAGGAGAGGAGGAGGAGGAGGAGGAGGAGGAGGGGGAGGGGGAGGGGGAGGAGGAGGAGGGGGAGGGGGAGGAGGAGGCCTAGACGCTCGCCGCGGACCCTCGCCCTGCCCCCCCCTTGCGGGCGCCGCCGGGCATGGCCACCGCGGGCGGCAGCGCTGTGCCGCCGAAGAGGCACCACGCCTTCGGACGAGAGCGAGGAAGCCACACGGTTCACCCGCCTCGAACGTATCCCTATCCCTAAGATTGACACGCCGAAAGGCGATGACAATCGTAGGGATTCGCCCTCGAAACAGAAGGGAGTCCCTAAGATTGGCATCGTGATGAGGAGGTGCCCAGCATAGGGATAGGGATATGTTCCAGGCTGGTAAACACGGTGTGACGGGCTCCCAGCGGCAGCGTGTCCTTGCTCGGTGGCCACTCACGGGAGCCTCCCACACCATCCTGCTGGCTCCTGCGACCCGACGGCCGTCGACGCAGGCCGACGCTAATTGGCGCTGCTCGGCTCGAACCGATGCTGAGCGGCGCTAAGTCGGCGCTATCCCATCGATGACCGAGCGCTAATCGACGCGGGTGCACTCTGGGGGCGGACATTCGAAGTTATCCAAGGCTTCCATGACTTGGTATCGAACTCCTTCCCTCCCGAGCGCCCCCAGAGGTCGGCGGCGGGGCGGGAGACCCTCAGAGGTCATCCGTCCACTCTCGTGGTCCGTGCGGGCGCCGAGCAGGAGGGGGAAGCACAGTGAGGGAAGCGTCGCCAAAGCGGTCCAGCGCCGACCCAGAACAACCATGTATTTGTTTCCCTCTGTAGTCCCTCCGTCCCGCTCCTCGCCCTCCCAGTCCGCTCTCCCCCCCCCCCTCGCCCTCCCCTTCCTGAAGTGCGGGCGGCACGACTTCGGTATGTCCCTCGACTCGAGCCGGATCGCTCCATCTGGCCATGCCTGAGTTCACCCTCGAGTTGACAGGGCCTTCCTCTGAGTTTTCCCTGGAGGCCTCCCCGATGGAGTCCGAGCGGATGGGCTCGCAGCATCGCGCCGCATCGCCGATGCATCGCCGATGCACTGGCGAGACACCGGCGAGGCGCCGGACGCCTCGGCGCGGAGGAAGCCAGGCTCCACGCCGAGCAGCCGCGCGCGGGTGCATCGGCGGGGGGGCGCGATCCTCCGACCCCCCCCTGCTTTCGGGCCCGGCCTGGGAGGCCTGGACTTGGGCGCCCGAGTTATCCGGGGTAGCTCGGGTCCGGGGTAACTCGGGCTTGGATTCCCGAAAGAGGAACCCGAGTTAGCCCTGACCCGAGTTACCCCTGATGATGTGGGGCTCTGTACGCCCGATTTGTCCGGGGTAACTCGGGTCCGGGGTAAGTCGGGTTCCGATTCCCGAAGAACGAACCCGAGTTAGCCCTGACCCGAGTTCCCCCTGATGGTTCGGGGCTCTGACTGGACTGTCCTCGGCCGAGGGAGGACTTCGGGTGACCCAACAGGGGGTCCAGCTGAAAGGGGGTGGTGCCATAGATCTGGAGTCAGTGTATTTCAACTGTACTGCGCCGGAGAGTTGTATTGCATTGTGTGTTACAAGTAATGTATTGCACGCGAAGACACAGCAATACATCTGCGCCCTGGAATGTATTGCCCTCCCCGGGATGTACTGCAGCCCCACACATCTATTGCGCCAAATCTATTGCACCACCCCCTTGTCGCTGAACCTCCTCTTGGGTCGCCCCGAAGGGCGCCTTGAACTCCTCCTGCGACTCCTCGATGTCCAAGAGTCTGAGCTGGTCCTTCGAGGCCTTCCTGGGTGCCTCCGGCGCCTCCTACGGCGGGCGCTCCGCTGGCTGCGCGGGCGGCGACGACGACGACGAGGACAACGACGGCGGCGGCTGCGGCGACGACGACCACGGCGACCACGTTGAGGGCGGCGAGGGCGGCGACGGCGACCACGGCGAGAGAGACAGCGAGTGAGAGAGGGCGGCCCTCCGACGCAGTGATTTTTTGGAGATCTCTCTTTGCGCACTCGCTGTCCTCCTCCTCCTCCTCCCTCCTCCTCCTCCTGCTCCTCCTCCTCCTCCTCCTCCTCATACTCCCCCTCCTCCTGCATCCCCCCTCCTCCTCGTATTCTTCCTCCTACTCCTCCTCCCCCGCGAAGGGCAGCACCAAGGGGCAGTCCCAAGGGCGAACCAAAACAGTAGCCGGGGGAATCGAAGGGGCGGGGAGATTCCCGGGATGAGGTCGACGGCACTGGAGGGCCACGGATTGAAGAAGCCGCGACACGTCGCAGGTCTGGGAAGGAGAAAGCAGTAGGGAGAGAGCTGAGGAGGGGGGGAGAAAGAGGGGCTGTTCGGAAGACTCCCCGCGGCGGTTTTCGGTGCTACTCTGACTTCTGCGGCGGTCATACCAGGTCGAACTCTGAGATATTTTCTTCGAGGGTGTCCCGAGGCCCCTGGAGGAGAAGGCAAGGAGGGATGAGGGAGGGCGAGGAAGATGGAGGAGCGAGGGCGAAACGAAGGACATAAGAGGAACGACTCACCTCAAAATGCATCAGCATGAGGAGCCCGAACGGTCTTACATCGTCCCTTGGTGTGTGGCTGCAGTGGGCTTCCGCGGTGCGGATGCTCTCTGCTCTTGAACTCTCACGTCTGCGGAATGATTAACTATTGGTGATCTCTCCGCCAACCGGCACTGTGTTTTTCAATCGAATTGCCCCTTGTCGACGCTCGCAACTCGTGTTCTGTCAAGGGGACTCTCCAGGCTCAAACTGCACCACAAACAACAACAACAACAACAACAACAACAACAACAACAACAACACCACCAACAACAACAACAGCAACAACAACAACAACAACAACACCAACACCAACAACAACAACAACAACAACAACAACACCAACCAACAACAAACACAACAACAACAATAACAACAACAACAACAACAATACCAACACCAACACCAACAACAACAACAACACCAACACCAACAACCAACAACCAACAACCAACAACCACAACAACAACAACAACAGCAACAACAAGGCGAGGCCGGGTTTCTGGTACCCTGGGGGGCAGGGGGCCAGAACCCCAGGGGGGGTCGCAACCGCAACCGCGCAACCAGCACTACCACAAGCTAGTGGAAATGAATCAGTAAGAAGTTCCAATTCAATTCTCAGCAGAACATGGATGCGCGCGCAAGCGAAGCGAGCTCCTACAGCAAACCTATCCGAGTTATGCTAGAGCTGCGTCCAGTTCAAATAAAATCCTACTAGCGCTGCGTGCAATTCAAATATAATCCTACTAGAACTGCGTGCAGCCCTAATAGAATCCGACTAGAGTTGCGTCCAGCTCTACTATAATCCAACTAGAGCTGCGTGCAGCTCCCATAGAATCCTACTAGAGCTGCGTCCAGCTCTGCCAGAATCACTTACTCGTCAACAGCAACAACAGCAACAATAACACTAACAACAACAACAATACACAACACCAGCAACAACAACAACTACAACATCAACAACATCAACACCACCACCAACAACAACAATCATTTTAATACTGTTCGCTCTTATCTGCTCGAGTGACATTCAGCGTGCATTTCCCGAACCCTCGATACCCGCCTTCTTTGTCTGCGATCATCCCTTTTTTTGGTGGGTATAGATCATATTCGTGAGGTCTGCTAGATTAGCCAGGAAATTTCCAGCGAGAGAGTGAATCCTGATCAAATTTAAAGAAGTCCCCAGCGAATGCACGATTCTTGAATGGCAAGAGCGCGGCGCCTGAGCAAATTGTGAGGAAGTCTCAGGCGTAAGCACGATTCTTGAGTAAAGTGCGAGGAAGTCTAAAGCGGGAGCGGGGGACCGGGGTAATACTCGAGGAACAATCAAGCGGGAGCCGTTGTTGTTATAAACCGGGGGCCAGGGGCACAATTTGAGGAGGAAGACCTTACCTGATAAAAAAACAGGGTGCCAGCGCCGGGAGGGCTGCACCGGAGGGGGGGGGTCAACAATAATCAATCTTCAGCAGTGAGAGCTCAACAACAACATCGCTCACCTGACACGTGGGCACAATGCAGCATGGAATCCGGCTTGCGCTTTAGACTTCCCTGGAGTTTAGGGAAGAACCATACTCTGGCCTTGGACTTCCTCGCAATTTACTCAGGCGTGGCGCTCTCGCTTCTCAGGAATCGTGCTCTCGCGTGGGACCGACCAGCCACTCTCGCATTGCACTCTCGCCCACGACTTCCTGCCACATTGCTCACGAGTCTCGCTTGATGGCCCCCGAAGGCTTGTCCAGGAATCGCGCTCTCATTAGAGGCCTCACAGATGGACTCGGAGCAGATGGGGTCGGAGGATCTCGCCGCATCGGCGATGCATCGGCGATGCAGCGGCGACGTCCGCGTGGAGAAAATCGGCTCCACATGTAGCCGCATCGCTGTTGCTGTTACATCGACGATGCGGCGCGATCCTTCGCCCCTGTCCTGGAGGCCCACCCATCCAGACCCCCGACGTTGCATTTTTTCCCCAACGTCGAACCCCAGGGGTCTGGACTCCTTCCCCAGGGCCGGTGTTTCCTTCTAATATGTCTTTTGACGGTCCCGATGCGGGGTAACTGACTACCTACCAGACCACCCCAACCCAACCCGAAGACCCCACTTTGAACCGAATTTGGGGTTGGGGGGGGGTACGGGTTCCATGTGTTTCTTTCAATGTTCCCCGACCCCCCCCCACTGGAAATGATACGCAAATTAGGGCCTTCGGGTTGGCTTGGGGTGGTTTGGTGCGTGGTGAGTAACCACCCCCGGAGGCCCAAAAGAACAGAAAAACCTCCCGTCACTAGGGGGACAAAAAGCGACATAAAAACTAAAAA